AGCTGCCTGGCATAAGAGCAGGCCTAGGCACCGCCACTCACCCATCACACCAGTGATGCTTCAGCTGTAGTACCTGCTGCCTCCCCTCCTGGGTAGGTAGATGGGTGTGTTTGAGGGGCAGTGGCAGAGACTTCCTCAGGGCTACCTTAGCTGAGCTACCCTTCAAGGAGGAGAGAAAAGCTTGGGTTCCACACACCAGACCCAAGCATATACCCTGCAAGTGACAACGGCCTCCAGGGTTACCAGCCACTGTGCCAGGAACCACTTCCCTCCACAACCCACTCCCCTACACTGAGGCTCCCCGGGGCCCCCTAAATCCACTGAGCCCCCCACACAAACTATACTCCCCAGCAGCTTCAGCCCATGGTTCTCCCAACCCCCAACCAGACCTCTTCCACAGACCCATGCCTGGCCCCTGGCCGCGGATCTGCACAACCACAGGTCTTGCTGCTGAACAAAGATCCCCGAGTGGCTGGTTAAACTGCCCTCCCTCAGACAGGTTGAGGGTGATTCCGACTTCAGAAGTGGGTAACCGAGGGCCGGAGAAGTCAGCAACTTTCTGAGGTGGAGACAGCAGGGGATCAGAAGCGGACTTTCTCCCCTCTCACCACGCTCCACTGCCTCTCTCCAGGAGTCTGAGCTCACCAGGCGCCTTTCTGGAATCACTACAAATAAGGAGCTTAGAACTCCACATTTCTCGCTTCTATTACTTCTCCAGAATCATAAGAGTTAATATTTAAGAAACACTTTCTGGGCTGTCCCCGTGGCCAAGTGGTTAAGTTCGCGCGCTCCGCTGCAGGTGGCCCAGTGTTTCGTTGGTTCAAATCCTGGGCGCGGACATGGCACTGCTCATCAAACCACACTGAGGCAGCGTCCCACATGCCACAACTAGAAGGACCCACAACGAAGAATATACAACTATGTACTGGGGGGCTTTGGGGAGAAAAAGGAAAAAAATTAAATCTTTAAAAAAAAAAAAGGAAACACTTTCTGTGTGCCCCGCACCAGGCTAAGTTCTTTATGCATATTAACATAGGTAACCCTCACAACATTCCTCCTTGCTAAGTATTTCCTCCTTTTTAAAGATGAGGAAACAGAGAGGCTAAGTGACTTGCCCAAGTCCACCCAGCTGAGGTCTGTTTGCTTCCACAGCCCACCCTCATAACCACCCTTGCACCCTACCCCACTCTCCACCCCCTATCCCCCACCCAGTCAGGCCAGGAGGGAGGCAGTCCTGGCTCTTTGAGAACCCAGCTAGCACTGAGACAGGCTGGACCTCATCCTAAATTAGTGGTCAACCCCTAGCACTAACAATAATACTTAATGAGCATTTCCCAGAGGCCAAGCCCTATGCCAGGTGCTTTCCATCCATCATCATTTAATCCTTCAACAGCCCCGAGAGGCTGATAGGATTATGCCCATTTTTCCAGATGAGGGCACAGAGGCTCAAGAGAGTTAAGCAACTCAGGCTGAGGACACAGGATCAGTGAGCGGCAGAGCTGGGGTCCAATCCCACTTAGGTGTGTCCCTGAACCCCTGTCCTACAGACTTCGCTATGCTGCCCACAGATCCCACACCAGCAGTTATGACACGGGCGTGGTCCCTCCTCTAGCACCCATGGACCAGCACCATCCGCATCACCTGGGCTCTTGTTAGACAGGTGGAACCCCAGGCCTTGGCCCAGACCTACTGATTCAAATCTGAATTTTATCAAGATCCTCAGGTAACTCACGGGCCCAGGAAAGTTTGAGAAGTCCTGCTCTGCCTCATATAGCTCTTCACTCCAGTTTCCCAAGGGGCCTGCGCCCAACAACCGAGGCCAGGGACTGAGGGCTTCTGCCTGAGGGGAACTGAGGGCGGGTCCCCCAATCACCCCCGCTCCTGGAAGCTAGCCCATCCCTCTTTGGAGTCATCAAGGCACACAGACCTCAACACGTATGAGTCAATGCACACATTCCCACTGGGTTGGGTGACCCTCGCACCCTTCCTGGAGCCCCTCCAGAGGGATGGCAGAGGGTCTCACAGGCCAAGCCAGCTTCAGCCGACGCCCAGAGGCTTGGGAGAATTCCCAGGTCCTCCCAGGAAGGGGTTAAAACAGAACAAGTTGCACTTCGGCTCCAGTAATTCCATTCCCTGACAGATTTCCCTGGAGTGCTCCCTAACTGAATCCCAGTGAGGGGAGAGCTGGGGGCTGGGAGCGCGTTCAGGCAGTTTGTTTTTGCCGGCAATGTCAGTGAAACTGTCTTCAAATGAAGCAGAAAGCATTGGCTCCTGTTCCTGAGCGCCTCCTACTTGCCAGGCAAAGTGTGGGGTGAGTTAGTCCTTGCAACCGCCCCACAAAGCAGGATGATATGCACACTTCACAGGTGAGGAAGCTTGGCCACGGAGAGGTTAACTTGTCCAGCTTAACTCGTCCATCAGTAACAAGTGTCTCGATTTTCAGCCCCCTCCTATAGGCACATAGAAACCAAGACATGCTGGAAGCAAGAGTACTTTTAGGACCCTGAGCCACTTCACGGTAACAAGGAGATACTTGGAACTGAAGCCCCAAGGAATTAGCCTGTAGCTTAGCCCACCCTAGTCAGGCCAGCCTTCAACATCAGCATCTGAGACCACTGGGGTGGAAGAGTGGCGATTCCCAGCCACCAGCCTGTGGCCCAGAGCTCTGAGGCCCCAGCAGACCCACCCACACGGACCTGGATCCCCATCTGCCTCACTGGACTAGTCCACTGGGTGGATTGTGTATCTGTGAGGGGCACCTAGCATGCTCCTGCCCCACCGGCCGTGGAGCAGGCAGGAGAAGTAGGGGCTCCAGAGGGCTCCTCACACCTTTCAGCAAGGCACTCCCCCCATGTCACACAACATCTGCAGTGCCTGCGGCACACAGGCAGGGAGTTAGTACTAAAAAAGGAAACCCAGGCAGCTAATCAGCTTTGCAGGTTTCTAGGGACATCAGCCTGTGAAGTGAGAAAAGGAGATCCAGCCACGCGGTTGCTTGGTACCCAAGCATTCCCCCCATGGGGCCACGAGCCTTGCAGGGGAGAGAGAGCCCACATCAGACTGCCACTGTTTGGAGGCAAACCCCTCAGCTGTCCTTAGGACCCCAAAGGATTAACCAAGCTGACCTCACTCACTGGCCCTTCCCCCAGCCAGAGGCCACAGCTCAATTTCTTATGTTGTTAGGAGTTTAGGGAAACCAAACATCTTGAAGGTATTACCATTTATAGAAGAGCACATTTACAATTAGCTATATATTAACACCTGGGGATTTATCTCCCACAATTCTCCGCTGGTGATGCAGGAGCCATCTAGCCCTCAGCACTGACACAGGCCAGGGAGGGTGTGGGAGTCATCTCCCTGAGAAGTCTCATTTCTCCCACCCACAAGTCTTCCTGGGGTCCCCACCCTCCATCCACGCTTCTCTTCCTCACACCCAGCCATCTGCTCAGAGGCTGCACCAGCCTTCCCCTACACTGCCGGGAGGGCCGGGAGATGAGGGGTTGCTGAGCCAGAAGTGATTCGGTCTCAAGGTCCAGGGCTGCCTCCCAGAGAGCTCCATATGGGGGCCTGGATCAGCCTTCTTTAGAACAAAGGGGCATCTTAAACTCAACGAGAGAGCTCCTGCCTCAGAACGATTCATCACTCACCGGCCGTTCAGAGCAACTGTGCAAATGCCCTCAGAGCCAGGAAGAAACTTGTCAGCGATCAGACAGGGGAGAGGCAGTGTGCCACAGGAGTTAAGTGGGAGGGTGTAGGGTTCACACTGCCTAGACTGCAGCCCTGGCTCCTCTGAGGACCAGAATGTCACTGAATCCCCCTACATCTCAGTTTTCTCATCTGTAAAAGGGGAGATGATAACGGCCTATCTCCCCGGGTTGTTGTGATGACTAAATGAGATAATTTATGTGAAACATTTACGCAGGGTGCCCAGTAGGCAGCAGGTGCTTAATAAGTATTAGCCAGAATTATTACAGGACACCCACCCCCAGAAGGATAGAGATATGGGATGGAGAACATTTTCCCCTTGCCAAAACTTCTGCCCTTTCTCAAGAGCAGTGGTTCTCAATCATGACACCCCTCCCCACAGCCTGCTACCTCCCCAAGATACATAGATAATTTGGGTTTATGCAACACACTCCCACAAGTGTGCACAGATTAAACAACAACAACAGAATTTTTGCAGGACAGGGCAGTAAAGCACAGCCATCATTTCATCACCACAATTGGCAGTCCATCAGCGCAAGCAAAGCACAATTCTAGAGCTGAAACGCTCTGGCTGGCCTTTTCTCTCCTATTCAAAAAAGCACATCAGATGTCAAGTCACCACAATGTACGCTTTAAATGTCTTAAAATTTTATTATCAATTACACCTCAATAAAGCTGAAATTCAAAAAAAAAAAAGCACACCAGCATGAGGTGAGTAGGAGTAATGTCAGGATTGCAATAACCCTGAAATTATTCCACCATATTTTTTGTAAAGCAAATTTTTGACAGGCTTCAGAATGTTATTACTAGTATAGTGAGGTTTTATCATACTCAAAATGTTTGAAAGGCAGCACGTAATTAAAAATTGCATGTAGCCAAAATTACCCTTCAAAATTCTCTTAAATTACCCATAAACTATGACAATTGTTTATCTTTAAACACAAGAATTGTACCCAATGGACTGGGATGCTCACAACACACAGGGATATGGAAACTAAGACACACTGACCCAAGAGGTGGATGAAACACGTTCTCACTCTCGCTCGCTCACTCGCTCTCTCCCCCAACAGTGTTTGGCTACATTCTTGTCTAATCACATTCTAATAATTTAAATAAGTATATGATATAATTCCACCACCACAAATTGCTACTGCTATGCACCTCTCAACTGACCCATGCTGCGAATTCAGTCCTCCAGAACTCTGCATAAGATGGAACTGCTCCGCCTGTCCCCCATGCCCTAGGCTGACCCTAGATCCCCAATGTGGGAAAAAAAGAAAGAGGCGTCCACTTACTTGCAGCCTGGATGCGAGCCTTCCGACTGACCACCAGCCCAAAGCGGTTCTGAGCCACACACTCATAGTCACCCTCGTCTGAAAGGCTGCCTCCCGGATCCAGCCGGAAGTGATGGATCATCAAAGACCCATTGGCCAGCAGGGTGGAGTGGGTACTCTCTGGCAGCTCCACCCCATTCTTCCTCCAGGAGATTCGCACTGGAGGGGTGCCCTCCACCCTGCAGCCCAGCATTACAGGCTGCCCGGGAACTGCAACATCATCACTCGGCTCCACAGCAAATGCCAGTTCAGCAGAGTGGCCAAGACCTGCATCAGGCAGGGGAGGTGAGAGGAAGAGGAGAGGTTAGTGTGGCGTGAGCAGACAGGAAGAACGCCACATCGGAGGGTTCCAAGTTCCCTGGATCTGTGCACCCCATCCCCATCTTTCTGTAACGTGAATAGTAATCTCTATTATACACAGAAGTTTATGCATTACAAAGTGCTGTCCCATGCAGTATTTTACTTAATCAGCAGACCATCTCAGAGAGGTAGAAATTATTTGTACCATTCCCTCTTTTAGAGATAAGGAAACTGAAACCCAGGGATATTAAGCAACTTGTCCAGTGTCTCACAGCTAGTAGCGGCAAATCTGGGATCCAAAGATAAGACTGATTCCAACACAGCTGGTGCCACTTCTGTGGTGACTCTAGTTAAGCACTGAAGCCTCAAAGAGTTTCGGGATGTGACCTCGGGTAAAGTATTCAACCTGTCCTGGGGTCTGGTTCCTCATCTGTTTAAATCAGGAAGAATACGGCTTGTGTCATAGGGTAGTTGAAATGATTAACAGACTCAAAGACACTATGAAAAGTTAAAAGTTCTGGGGCCAGCCTGGCGGTGCAGCGGTTAAGTTTGCACACTCCGATTCTCGGGGGCCCTGGTTTCGCTGGTTCGGATCCCGGGTGCGGACCTACGCACTGCTTATCAAGCTATGCTGTGGTAGGCATCCCACATATAAAGTAGAGGAAGATGGGCATGGATGTTAGCTCAGGGACAGTCTTCCTCAGCAGAAAGAAGAGGATTGGCAGTAGTTAGCTCAGGGCTAATCTTTCAAAAAAAAGTCTTAAAAAAATGGGGAAAAGTTAAAAGTTCTAAACAAATATACAGTGAGATAGTAATAAATCATTGCTTCTTTTCACTGGCAAAGCCATCAGATGCTTGGCAGGCAGCAGGACATGTGGGCCCAGTACCAGGTACAGGCTGGGCTATGACCCAGCTCCACTGCCTCTCCCCTAGGATGCTCGGGATTTTGGTTGTTCTGCCTCTGTCATAAGAGATGAGGGGTACCAAACATCAACTCAGTTTTCCCAAAATTCAGGAAGAGAAGAGTTCCTAGAATGTTTACTCTCAGCAACCTCACAGCTCCTGCATAAGAGAAATGAGCTGGAAGAGGAGGAGGAGAAAGAAGAGATGGGGAGAAGGGTGATCACGGAATTAAGAAGACTGACAGGAAGGACAAGTGCTCCAATGCCAGGCATGATGCCAAGTCACCAACTTCTCCAACAAGCAACTTACCAGACCAGTTACAACTTCACTCCAGGAGGAATGAATCCACCTGCGCTGAAACGGCAGCCACAGACCCCTCACGTTCCCAGGGAACTAGCGATCCTAGGAGAAGCTGGCCGCTCTGCAGCAGAGCAGCGCCCTCCCAGGCTGGGGGAGATGGGGAAGGGGGGCGGGGGCTGGGGTTATGGGCGTTTCCCCTCACCCTCAGGGATATGTAATATTTTAAGACATTTGAGGGTCACACTCCTTCAAACCCCTACCCATCCTGCCCCTGTGTTTCAGAGGCCTCAGTCCCCAACGCAACCCCGCTACAGTATAGCAAATTGGGGGATAAAGTTTCTCCTAGTGCGGACGCGATATCCTGCTTCTCCGGAGGCGAGAGGAGAGAGAACACGGCCCACATGAGCGTCTGCTGAGAACTGGGGGTGGGAGGGGAAGGGACTAGACTTGCACCCCTCTCCTGTGAGGTGGGCCCACTGAGGGAACAGGGTGGTGGTGACAGAGCTCTGGGCAGCAAAGCGGCAGACCCTCGAGCCCGGGGGGAGGGACGCTCTGCGTGTGCACACTCCGGGGAAGGGCGGGCACGTGGGGACTCCTGCCCCTCGCTCGCTCTCCGTCGGTTTCTCTTCCCCCGCCTCAGCTCGCAGGCTGTCCACGCGCGGCCCGCCAGGAGTCTTCGTCCTCCTGTTCCTCGGTCTCTCCCGCGCGCTCCGGCTCCAAATCCGGGACGTGCCCTCTCTGCCCAGCGCAGCCCGCTCTGTCCCGGCCTCCGTCCCCCGGTCTGCTGTCTCCTGCCTCGGCCGCCTCGGGCTACTCTGAGCCACCGCCGGGCTCCGCGCAGCCCAGCTCGCCCCTCTCGGACGGGACTCAGCCCTGCGGTCTCCCCTAGCTCGTTTCCTGCTCTCCCCAACTCCAGCCCGTCAGCTCGCTCCTCATTTGCCGCGCTGTTTGCCCCTTGGTCCGGGCGCCGGGTCCTGCCCCGAGTCCCGAAGCCGCAGCCGCAGCGGACTGAGCCCGGTCTCTCTCCAGGGGCTTCTCAGCATCTCCCTGCCGCCCCCAGCAGCCCGGCCTCCTCGGTGCCCTCTCCCCGGGCTCCGCCCCGTCCCGCTCGGCTCCCCTCCTCGGGCAAGTCCCTCCCGCCCCGGGTCCGCGCCGCTCTCCCCAGGTCCGCCCCTCGCGCCCGCTGACTCCCTGCTCGCCCTTCCCCGGCTCGGTCCGCACCGCGCGGGCGGCGGGCGCCCTCGCTCACCGTCGCTCGGCGCGGGCAGCAGCAGCGGCAGCAGCAGCGGCAGCAGGAGCCGGGGCCGGCGGCGCGGGGACGCGGCGCGCGGAGCAGCCATGGGGCTCTCGGTCCGCTCGGCTCGGCGACGCGCGGCTCCGGGGCCTCTCGCGGCTCACAGCGTCCCGCGGGGCCGGCGCCGGGGTCGGGGCCGGGGCTCCGGCCGGGGCCGAGCCCGGGCGGCGGGGGGCTGGGGCCACATGCCTGCCTAGGAGCGCCCGGGGCGCAGGGGGAGCGCCGCTTGCGCCATCTTGCACCCCTCCCCGGCGATCTGTCAGCCTCGCCAGGGGTGCGCGCTCCGCACTCGCACTCGCACTGCCCGCGCCCGCCCCGCCCTCCTCCCTCCGCCCGCCGCCCCCTTCCCTCCCCTCCCGGTCCCCTCCCCCAGCCCCCTCTCCCCGGAGGCCCGGTCTGGGGAACAAAAGAGCCGGCGAGCGCTTTAAGCGGCCGGACATTCCCGGCTGCGCAGCGGACGCGCCCCCTGCGCTTTGAACTGCGGCTGGAGCGGCCGGCGCCGTCCCGGGCTGCAGCCCCGTCCCCCCTCCCCGCGGGCCGGCCCGGGTCTTCAGGGCTGGGGGAGCGGAGACCCAGCGGACTTTGGAGTGGGTCGGGGCTGTAGAGAAACACGCTAAGCTGCGGGATGTGCTCTGACCCACTCTTTCTGCTACGCCTTCCTCTACAGTGTCCAAGTCTATATTTTCGAGATAATTCCCTAAAAGCTGCACAAAGTTGTTAAAGATTCGGTTTTCCATGGGTTTCTGGTTCTTCCATCCAAAGGCTAGGACGTTTAGCTGCAAGGCCGGCCTCTCTAGACTGAAGAGTTCTGGCACTTGGGTGGACGGGAGGTAAGAGGGCCCGGGGAGAGCAGACCGACAGGGCAATGAGAAGGTTCAGGTATCCCGGGTTCCGACCCCGGGTCCGCCTGCGGTCCAGCCCAGCCAACAGCCGGGCAAGTCACTCTCTGAGCTCATCTGCAAGGTAAAGGTAATCATTTCTTCCACCCCTAGAGACCCTTAAAGACACAGGTCCTGACCAATGACCTGGTAACTGGAAAAGCACATTGAAAGTTAAAATTCCCAGTAACATTTCTATGCCACAGAGGAGACTTTCAATGTTTCATGTCACAATATAAGGAGACAACATAGGTCCCAGGTAAGAAGGTTATAGAAGATAGGCCTGCCTCTTTGGAGGTACATATCCACGCTAGTCCTCGAAAATCTTGAATGTGGGCCACTCACTATTGAATAATCTTCTTATGAGTCCAGCATGTTGGGCTAGTCCATCAAAATAACCCAGCATCTACTAAGTCCAGGAGTAGGAGATTTGAAGGTGGTAGTCTCTGCCTTGCTCAGCTATTTGCTCCTCTGGTGTTGGACTGGAATGGCAGAGGAGTAACTAAGTCTCTCTTTTGATACCAATTCTGGAATCTTGGGATTAGGACTGTTAACCACACATAAAACTAACTTTGGTTCAGATGAGTAAAGAAGTGCGGTCCTCCAGAAACGGGGTAAGTTTACTAATAATGGGGTGTGTGCTGCCCAGGGACTCCTTTCTCTGTAGTAGCAATTGGAAGATGAGTTTGTGAGGCAGGACATGAGGCATATGAATGAGCGGAAGGAGGCAGTGGAGAAATTCACGGCCAGGGACCCCGTCATACCAAAGCCCTAAACTGATTTCCTTGTGAGGAAGGGCAGGAACGGGCTCTACTGGCCATAGGAAAGGGAGGGAAGGGGGCCCCTCCCAGGGGCCCACAGTCCTGTAACTCCCTCCTGCAGGGCTTGAATTCTCAACAACCCCTTCTTGGCTTGTCCTAGATCGGGAGAGGTCAAATTGGTGTCCTGAGTTGCTGTCATTTTAAATTCATTTTGACAAGTGTTTAATTCGTCTTTATCACAACCCTTGGTCTGAGAGTGATATGCAAATAATGGCTATTCTGCTGCGTGTAAAATTCGCAGTATCTCTCCCTATGATCTGTCAATTAACTCGGGTCTGGCCCACCAGCCACTTGGGGGGTGGTCCTGGGCAGGGCAGCCTCTGGTTCTTGGTTCCCTCCAGTAGAAAATCATGCATGGTCCAGGATCTGTAAACATCTTAGCAGAACAGCTGCCAATTGTGATCCTGAGATGTGTGTGGGGTGTGAGTGTGGAGTTTTGTGTGTGACTGTGTGCCCATGTTTGAGTTAATGGACACAAGGGTGTTTGTGAAGGTGAGGGTTCACATGTGGGTCTCTGAGCCTGTAGGCACAGTGCCATATGTGTGAATGTGCAGCCATGCACAGTTTGGGACCAGAGTTATACAGAAGAATAGTTGTTGAGCCCAAATCTCTGGAGTTGTTCATTCAATCCTCCCTTGCACCCAAGAAAGTTCAAAGAATGTATGCCCAGGGGCCGGCCCCGTGGCCAAGTGATTAAGTTCTTGTGCTCTGCTTCAGCAGCCCAGAGTTCACCAGTCTGGATCCTGGCCACGGACCTACACACCGCTCATCAAGCCATGCTGTGGCAGCATCCCACATAGAAGAACTAGAATGACTTGCAACTAGGATACACAACTATGTACTGGAGCTTTGGGGAGAAAAAAAAAAGAGGAAGATTGACAACAGATGTTAGCTCAGGGCCAATCTTCCTCACAAAACAAACAAACAAAAAATATGCCCAGATGGAAAGAGACCCCAGAGAGCCTAAAAGAGTACCATCAAAGAAATCATCTTTCCTAGGTTTAAGTCTTTTTCCTAAGTGCCTGTTGGGGGAGGAAGATGGTTCAGTTCTTTCCCATGACCACTTGCTCTCTACCCTCAAAACCCAACATTTCCCATCCTGGTAGGAAATACATTCTCTAGGGCAGAAAGGCTGAGGAAATTCTAGTCATGGGTTCCAAAAGAGAATTCCACATTTTTGGAAAATAGTTTATTAAGCCATTATAGGGACAGATACATGATCAATGCCTTGGCCTGACACTAAAGAATATCATATTTGTAAGGAGAGAAAAAATGCTGGAACAAATAATTAAATAATATAGCATAAACTAAATACAGACAAATAAATGAGCAGGTACTGATTACACTTGTCATGCATCAAGAAAAAGAAGGTTTTTAAACGAGACTCAAAAAATATAAGGCATCGATGGTAGGTGACAAAGGGATTAATACCCTGTAAAAGGCCAATAGACTGTTTTCTAATAAAAATACTGCTACAAAGACACAAACCTAACACTTCCAAATTACCCAGAGCCCAAATCATATATAATGCTAGTGAGTAATGGCCACTTTCTTATCAACTGTGAGTTATAGGCAGATACCAGATTTATTACTTATTTGCTTTTGAGAAACAATTTTCCACCCAACCTAATGGGTTATAAATTGTCTCATTTGCAGCTATTTAATTTAAACCAGAACCTCAGTGCCTGTTAAACAAGAACATGAAAAATGACTATGTGGTGTAATGCTAAGAGCCTACTATTAAAACAGCCATTTAATTCAGGGCAGTTTTTTTCCTTTAGAAAAAAAATCAAACCAGAAAAATAAAACGAGGCTTTTGACCTTCAGAGCAATGATGAAACATATACAGTGGTGTTAGCCACAGCAACGCTGAATGCTACAGAAGAGTACAAGTGACAGTTCAGTCCTTAACGAGATACAAAACCAACATTAATAATCCTTAGTGTTATCACAGGCTGGTTGAGGGAGGGGGAGGGGAGAAGATGTAGGTGCGGATGTCAGATGTGAGTGACACCCGAGTGTAATAAACACAAATGCTGCAAGGGTCTGAGGAAGCTGCAACTCTGCTGAGAGACAGTTCACCATTAAAGAAAAAGAGAGAGAGAGAGAGAGAGAGACTGGTTATTTCTAATTTGGCCCAGAAGCCAGAGTTAACCCTTGATGTGCCGATCAGTTAAAAAGATGGCACTTAGGAGAAAAGATCCCACATTCTATGCTCCTATGAGAGGCGGAGGGGCAAAATCAAATAAATGACATTGTTTTCTCTACACAGAAAATAGTCGTCAAGCTTGTCCCTGTGTGGTGGGTCAACAGAAAATGACTTCAGGATTGAATTTAAAGAAAAAACAAAATGAAATGAGCCAATGACCCTTGTCCTGTGCAAAGACCTCCCTTCCAGCACCTAGAGAATGAGATTCTCTTCATCCCTACCCCATCAGCTCATGTTCAAGGAGCACAGAGTGGGAAGCGGCCAGAATGTGGCACCCCTAATCCCCAATCCCCTTCTCCCCCATAAGCTTCAGCTGGGAAGGAAGGTCCCAAACCCCCGCCATCCAGCAGACCTGCCGGCCTGCACAGAAGGGAGGGAGTAATTTTATCCTGAGCCTCTGGGTCACGTTCCCCTTTCACTGTCTCAAAAATCCCCTTGTGTGACGTGGATTCATCACCTCCTAGGAGAACCCTCCTATCTCAATCCCAGAGAGAAAGATGCAAGGGAAGCTGGACGGTCTTCTCCAAATCTGCACTGGGGATGGGCAGTCTGCTGGGGAGGGGGCAGAGGAGGCACAGAGAGAGGAGGGAGCAGGAGGATAATGGTGAAGTGAACGGTGGACATGGGAGCCACGCAGCTGCCTCCTAGAAGCAGACATGAGGTAGTCGTGTTGTGAGGGAAGGATGCAGAGACTGAACGCAGGCAGGAGAACCATGTGGCAGTGTGGGAGAGGCAGCAGAGACCGGGAACAGCGGAGAGGACAGGAAAGAGCATCAGGGAGGAGGAGAGGGGCTCTAGAATTGGGAGAACAAGTGGACTGGGAGACAAACCACTAGTGTAGTGAAGGGGAGGGCAGGAGGGGAGAGCAAGAGAAAACAGACTTTCAAAACCAGGCACTTCCCAAATTACAAAATGCAAGGCAGAGTTGCTTTGAGGGGAGCCAGAATCACCCTCACAATCTGAGCAATGGGCACATGGGAGATGGGAGATGATGCATCCAAAATGTTAGGCATTCAGGGGCCAGCCCGGTAGTGTAGTGGTTAAGTTCCCGCACTCTGCTTTGGCAGCCCGGGGTTTGCGGGTTTGGATCCCCAGTGCGGACCTGCATACTGCTCATCAAGCCATGATGTGGTGGCATCCCACATACAAAATAGAGGAGGACTGGCACAGATGTTAGCTCAACAACAATCTTCCTCAAGCAAAAAGAGGGAGATTAGCAATAGATGTTAGCTCAGGGCCAATCTTTCTCACCAAAAAAGAAAAAAAAATTTAGGCATTCAGAGTCTACTTGCACTCAGCCCAGCCAAACAGGAAAGTGAGCTGGGGCTGTCTTTGTAGACAGGGCATTGGAGACACTCTCAGAGTGTGTAATAAAAGGCTGGATGATGGAGGTGGGGGGCCCACAGGGCTAGGGGCTGACCTCTCTGGGGTACTGTCCTGACCTGGAGGATCAATTAGGCCTTAGTGACCACTGCCTGGACTAAGGTTTTCCAGCTCACCAACCAGCACACACACATGTGCTTCACACATGTGTACATCACATATAGCTGTGCCTCACATGTCTCTCATATATCACGTGTCACAGAATATGAGGGGAGTGAATAATCCATTTCTTCCTCTCCCCCAGCCAGAGCACCCTAGGAGGCTCCAAATGGCTTGATGTTCAGCATCTGCAGGTACACACGTGTACACGCATGGCCACATGTGTCACGTCCCATGATCCATACCAGCCTGCTCCAAACTGTACCCTCTGGGGGAGCTAAGCAGAGGGGAGTGGGGCTCTGGGCAGGCCTGGGCTGGCTCCTAGAGGGCAGGGGGTGGCCTTTGGCTGGCAGCTGTTCCCAGGGGCCTCCTCCAGAGCCTCACTGGGCTGGAGGTCCGGGTAGGTGCAAGAAACATTGGCTGCCTCTGGCAGGCAGGTAAGTCTGTCCGGCCCAGTGGTTGTCTGCCCACACCCTCCCAGCTCCCTGTCCAGCCAGTCTGCCCCTTGCCCTAGATCCACAACACTCGAAGTGAGGTCAGGAGCCTCCGAAGGCAGGGGATCCTCGGGTTCCAGGTCTCGGAGCTGGAGGTGAAGGTTCCCCTTGGATGCACTAAAGTCAGAGTGGACAATGACTTCAGCCTCCACCTGGTTCCTGCAGGCTGGGGGAGGCTTCTTCCTCCCGTTGCCCTGGTCAGAGCAGAGAACACAAAGACAAGGTGACCATCACTGAGAGTGATCATCAGAAGAATGACCTATATACCGGGGGTGGAGAGATTGAGCCCCCGGCCCCAGAGTGTATATTACATGGGAGTTGTTGGTAAAGGAAGCACAGTGACTGTCCTACAAGAGATGATGATCAGACCCATGGGAAGGCAGGGAGAAGCGGAATACTACCCACTTGCCCTTGCCCAGGAGTTCCAGAAACACCAGATACAGTCAGGGCCTCAGTAAAGAGGAGGAAGGGCTGAACGCACTCGGGCGGGGCCACCCTCAGGTCCATGGTATTCTGCTGTGACTCGCTTAGATCTAGGTAGAGGAGGGTCTGTCCCCAACCCAGGTGAAACAGGGATGCCTGCAAACTGGCCTGCCTTTCCCCACTCACCATTAGAGGGTCCAGGGGTCTCCCGGCTAGACTTCTATCCCCAGGGAAGTTACCATCAGGGGTCTCTACTCCTGTGGTGAGTAGGGAACTCACTACTTGCTGTGGACAAGCATGGGGACCCTTTTCTCCTTTCCTCCCAGGACACTGACCTTTATGGCATCATACACCAGAGCCTGCAGCAACAGCGTCTGCCCAGTTCCAGCAGGGGGCAGCAGGGCCCGGGTCAGGGAGGGCATGGGGCCTGCCTGGGGCAGCTCACAGCCTGCCCAGGAACCTGCCCAGCTCGGCCCACCTGGCTGAGCCCAGGAGATCTGCACAGGGGAAAGAAGCAGCAGCTCTGAGACGTTGGCTGGGAGAAGGAAGCATGAGAGAGGGCAGTGGGTGGAGCCCCTCCACAGACTCTCAGCCCCGTTGCTTTCTCTCTCTCCAAGGCTGTGGGGAGGAGCACAGAATGAGCTGAGAGTTTGGGGGTGAATCTGAGGATGGAGAAGTCTTCCTGCAGAAAAGCCTAATACCAGATGCTCTGGAAATGCCCAGAGGCTTCCAAGCCAGGTAGGATCTCTGTCACCACAGAGGCAAGGAAAGAGCGAGGAAGGACTCAGGGGTTCGAGCAGGCTGGCCAGAAAAGGGCGGGATGGGTCACTACTGCCAGCATGGGGGGGCCTGACCTACGTGGGCCCACCTTATCCGGGTCCCGGTCCCACTTGGCCACAGCCAAGCTGACCAGCCTCTTTTCTCTGTGTCGGGGAGGGCTGGGTCTCAGCAGTCTCCTGGGGTCCCAGGATGAGGAGGGATCTGGGTGTTCTGGCCACCCTGAGTCACCTGCAAACAGCCCATCGGGGGCCCTCCCCTCCTTCCGTGAGAACCAGGCTGATCTATTCTGCCAGAGATGGAGGCCCATCTGCTTCCCTGCCCTGCCAAAGCTTTCATGGAGGAGGGGGAGAGTGCCTTTTCTTCTGCAGCTGGCCTAGGGAAGGCGGGGGAGGGGAGAGGGGTTACTCTCACTGGGTCACACTTTGTCCTCTTGCGCCCCCTGGTGTCCCATTTGGGAATGAGCCTCAATGTGGGGCTGCTTGACCTACCCAAGCTCCAAGCTCACCTTTCTCTTGGAGTGACCCCGGCAGTCTGAAACGCCACCACCCATAAGGCTGTGCACTTCAGCTCTGTCCTCGATGTCTGAGGGCGGTGGGGACCAGTCTTGGGGACGAGGGTGTACAAGGGACTCCAGTTCATGGGCAGCTGGGGGACTAGGGGGGCCAAGGTGGGCTCGGGAGTACAGCGTGGGGTTCCCAGTGGTGGCCGTGGAGGACAGGCCAGGGAGGGCCTCCCTGGAAGGGAAGATGGGGGACAGGCACAGGGGTCAAAGAGTGAGGGATGGAGGCAGGACTGGGATCCAGGCCAGCCTATGTCCCTGGGCAGGTTCCCGCTCACCCCTGGGCCTCAGTTTCCTGGTGTGTGCAATGAGTGAGAAACTCTGTTCAAAACAACCACGACTGCAGATGGCACCCTTCCTCCCTTGGCTCTAGACATCTGGAGATTCGGGGGCCCTCTTTCCAAGATGCTGGCAGCTACAGAGGAAGCAGCAGAAAGGCAGCTCTGCCTCTGCCCGCCCTCCCTGAGAGAGGAGGTCGAGGGCTCCCCTAAGCCCACCCCCAATCCCTTCATCCCAGAGTCCTAACTTTAATGGGGCTTCTGGGGGTGCCTAGGGCAAGTCATGGCCACTTTCCTTGCTCTCTCATCTCTGCAGCCCTTCTGGAAATCTCTCCTCTGCGGTCACACTGGCTCCTTTGCCCACCTGTGGGGGCTGCGGCGCAGACCAGCACACATGCAAGCCAGGAGGCAAAGGAGGCCGAGGCAGACACCCACGATGATGCCAGTGACTGAGTGCACGTCCAAGGAGTCTGGGGAGGGAGGGAGAGAGAGGGGACAGAACAGGTCAAGGACAGGAGAAGGCCCAGGGTTCATAGATCAAGACTTCTTGTGGCTTCCTCAGGAGACCACTGGCCTGAGTCTCATCCTTTGAACACTTGAAATCTTCTGATGCAAGGAGAGGAGGGACCCACAGCCTCACAGGGACCACCACTACCTCTCTCTCCAACTGTCCTCTCCACTGGACATCTGGAAGTTGTGGTCCCTCCCCCTCAACCTGGCCTTTCAGTGAAACACATGTGTTGCCTGCCCACCAGGGCTGGTTTCACAAGTGTGCAACAAGTGTGGTCACACGGGGCCCATGCTTAGAAGGGCTCTGTGCTTGTTTTAACGCTCTGTGGTCACCATCTTGAAATTCTTCCTAATCTTTTAATAAGGGGCCTCGCATTTTCATTTCACACTAGGCCATGCAAATCACGTCATCGTTGGTCTGGTTGTGCAGCTCCACCTCATAAATCTCGTCACCTCTCCCAGCCAATCCTCCAATCAAAGCAATCCCCCAAAGCAAAAAGCCAGCATCCCATAAATTTGACCTCTTAACCGAACCACCACTGAACCACACCCATTTCCCCTTCATTTGTCCTCTCCCCACCAAACCAGAAGGGCAACTGGCCAAAACAGTGAAATGTAGTCATGCCCAGCGGCACAGCCTTGGAAGAGATGACTTTAAGGTTAGAAGTCAACCCCAGGGGCCTCTGGGGACCTCGGGCTGCCCCAGGATGGCCCCCACTCCTCCCTTCCTGCCCTTGTACCTGAGAGCTTCTCTTGGAGGGTGATCACATCCTGCAGGCCAGAGAAGGGCCCTGGCCCCACCTCTGTGCGTGCCCCCATCTTGAAGAAGTACCTAGTGTCACTCTCGAGCCCGTGTACTTCAGCACTGAAGATGTTCCCTGAGGGGTGAGGAGGCAGGGAGAGCAGGGTTGATGGATGGGGTGGGGTGGGATGCAAGGATAGTCTGGGAAGTAGGACTGAGAAAGTCTGCTCCTCCTAAGGACAAATCTTAGCATCACTCTCACTACTAACTCAGCCACTGGAGAGGGTGGGAAGGCGGGAGAGGGTAGGTAAGCTCTTGCTCAGATGCCCTGGGGTGGGAGCTCTCACCCTCCGTGGTGAGCAGGGTCCACTGGTGCTCAGGCTGCGTGTGGTTGGTGCTGTACAGGATCAGATACTCCACGATCTCGCCGTTGGGCTCTGTGGGAGGGCACCAGTGCAGCCGCACGGTGGACGGCGTCAGAGGGCTCAGGCGCAGGTCAGATGGGGGTGTCGACGGCCCTGGGGTGCAGGGGAGGAGATGGGGAGAGGCAGGGTCACTGAGAGCCCAGCTCTGGGGCAGCTGGGGGACAGGCATGAGGACATGGCCTCCCTTCTTCCTCCTTCACTGGAGCAAACCACAAAGCAAAATGAGGTCTGATCCCTAAATGGGGGATTTCTGGAACACAGTTGGGAAAGAGGGCTTCATCCCCATCCCTCCCCTTCTGGAAACTCCTCTCCACTCCTTGGAGCAGAGCTTCTTACTTCCACACCCAAACGCCTCCCGGGGTTGAGGAGATTGTCTGGTGTTCTGGGGACCTGGGGGCAGAGCTCAAAATTTTTAGGAAGGCTTACAGTTTATTTTATACTCTCCTACTAAGTTTGCCATCTATTCCACGGTAAAGCTTAATACAAAAATAGTGTTTAAACATATTTATCATTTAAGGTGCCCATCTCTCCTTCCACCCCAAACCTTCAAGTCAACTTGGCCAATGCCCTGAGCAGCCTTTGCCTGTGTCTGCCCCCAGCACAGGGCCTACAGGGTCACAGGAACCCCAGTGTGAGAAGGACCATCTTAGAAGACTTTGTTTTGTTTTTAGAGAAGCAGCTGAATCTGAGGCGGGGCAGGGGGAGCAAATGAGGAAGGGAGAGAAGGAGGGACACGTGGCGGCTGGTGAGTTGAGAAGGGACAGAGATTTGGGGGCTCAGGTCTTCAAGGCCCAACAGAGGGGGGGATGGGGACCCAGGGCTCTAAGGTGGAACAGAGCCACAGCACCACAGGCTGCCAGAACCCTCTCTGACACTCAGTGACTCTCCGCTTCTCAGGCTCCAGTGTCCCCACCTGCAAAAGGAGAAAACATCCCCCCTCTGCAGTATGGTTGGTTGTGCTGGGGATGCAGTGTCACGAAGTCTCTTTTGAGAAAAGAGCAGGTCTCCCTCAACTCCATATGCAGCTTAAGACCATCATGACTGAGGTCATGGGTGGGTGGGAAATAATTTGTAAGCAGTTTTTTAAAAAGCAAATTCGTGAGAGTGGAGGGCCTCCACACCCCACCCACACACATGTTCCTATTTCAGATCCTGGGACAAAGGTCTTCTGTCGATGGGATGATCTTAGGGCCGGCAGGACCGAGGAGCCTCTGCTGTAAGAATAAAAGTTCATTTGCCTTGGAATGCCATTTCTAGAGGGTTCCAGAGTCACAGACTTGCCGAGAGAATGGTGCCATCCTCTCTTTTTACAGATGAGGACACGGAGGCCCTGGGTGGGGAAGGGACCTTCCCACGTCTCCCTGTGTGTCAGGGGCAGGATGGCGATCTGAATGCAGAATCCAGGATGCCTGTCTCCCTGACCTGGCCCCTCTTCACCAGCTCAGAGAGGTCTTGGCACAGCCTTTAAAAGAAGCTGCTCCTCTAAATCATATGTTATTACGTTTATGAGTAAATGGTTAAGACCAGCACAGGACTGGCCTATGTAAATGCAAAGGGAATGACAGACACTTGTGGGGTTCTGAGGGAGGTTTTAGAAAAGAGGGCTGCTGGGGCAAGAAGGAGTTGGGTAAAAGATGGGTTGGTGGCCAGAGGGCTGAGGGGCCACTCACGGTCAGGCAGGGTGGAGCGCTCTACCACGGAGCCAAAAGGCCCATCCATGTCCACGCCGTGGGACTGTATGGCAAACTCGTATTTGGTGAATGGCTTCAGCCCGCCAATGAGGATGTCTTCTCCAGAGCTGCCGAGGCAAGAAATGTGACTAGTGCTCTGAAGCACACCCTCCTAGCTGGGCAGGCCCCTCCAAATCTACTCCCCTACCCCTAGCCACAGCCTCAGGTTCTGCCCTGGGAAGGGAATCTGTTCCCTGCATGGGGGCCACTAACACCATCCAGAGGACCCACAGAGGGGTCTGGATGTACATTGCTCCCAGGGTATCGTGTCCAATCTCCAAGCCAGGTCTCCTCCTCTAGGAAACCTTCCTGGATTAATCCAAGCCATTCTCCACCCAAGGAACCATCTCTGATATACCTTTTCCTTGACTTCCTGTCTCCCCATCCAACTGGGGGCCCTGTCAGGACAACAGCTGGGCTGTCTCCTCCCCATTATATTTGGAGCCCTCTGAGGTTGCACAAGTAGGTCAGTCTGTCCTGCATCACGTTCCCCAGGGTTGAGTACAAGGCTCTGTTGTGAGTCAATGGTATGGGATGGAGTCCCCTTTTCCATCTGTCACAACAGGTCATCAGACCCCAATCTAACAGGTGAGCCATGAAACGTTCCTGAACCCCCAGGGTCCCTCTCCTCCTCCTCATCTGCTGCCTTCTTCCCCCTTTTCTGCTCTTCCTCCCCCTCACAGCGTTAGCCCCTCTCCCCACCTGGTGTAATAGGTGACCAGAGAGGCATTCCTGAGCCCCCAGGGGCTGAAGCGCACAGTGTAGTTGACAATCTTGACTGTTGTGAAGTCTGGCTTTTTCCACCGAAGCCAAATGGACGTGGAGCTGTTTGATTCCGCGTGGACGTGGGCAGGAGGCAGCGGCGGCCCCCTCTGGATGGGCAGGTCTGGAAGGTGAAAACTAGAGTGTGGGAAGGGAGGGAGGGTGCTCATCCCTAAATATGTATAGTGGTTTACAGTGCCCAGGCACTTCCTTTTACCCTCTCTCTTTTGATCTTGAGCTGGGTAGCATCATGCTTACTTTACAAATGAGGAAACTGAGGCTCCCAAGAATTTAAGTGATTTTTGCCAAGGTCATACATGTAGCAGACTGCGGAACACTAGTATGTAAGAATATAATAAAAAGAGGCAGCAAATCAGGGCAATTAAGAGCACAGATTCCGGGGCCAGGCTGCCTTGGTTCAAATTCCAGCTCTGCTACTTACTAGCTGTGTGACCATGGAGAAGACACTTAACCTCTCTTTGCCTCCATTCCCTATTCTGTCAGTGGGGCTGATAATAGTGCCTATCGCATAGAGTTGTTAGGAGAATTAAATTAGTTAACATTTGTAAAGTATATAAAAAAGTGTCCGGCATATTGTTGTGGATTGACTGTGTGTGTCCCCCCAAGATCATATGTTGAAATTTGAACATATGGTGGAGCCCTCATGAATGGGATGAGTGCCTGGTTTTGTCCATTCAGGCTGCTATGACAAAGTACCATACACAGGGTGGCTTATAAACAAAAAATTTATTTCTCACAGTTCTGGAGGCTGAAGGCTGAGATCAGGGTGCCAGCACAGTCAAGTTCTGGCGAGGGCCCTCCTCCGAGTTGCAGACTGCCCATTTCTCAATGTACGGTCAAGCGGCGGAGAGCAGAGAGACAGCAAGCTCTCTCAATCCTATAAGGGCACTAATCCCATTAATGAGGGCTACACCCTCATGACCTCATCTAATCCTAATGACCTCCTAAGACATCACATTGGAGGGTAGGGTTTCAACATATGAATTTCAGGGGGACACACACTTTCAGTCCATACCAGTGCCCTTAAAGAAGAGACCCCAGAGAGCGCTCCAGCCCTCCTTCTGCCATTTGGGGACACAGTGAGAAGATGGCCTATGGTCTATGAACCAGGAAGGGGCTCTCACCAGACACTAACTCTGGGGGCACTGTGATCTTGGGTTTCCCAGCCTCCAGAACTGTGAGAAATGAATGTTGGCTGTTTAAGCCCCCGAGTCTATGGTATTTTTGTTACAGCCGCCTGAACTGAGACATATATAGTAAGTACTATAGGATGATAAGTGTTTATTACAGAAACATTAAATAAAATAAACTCCGCGAGAACAGGTACCTCATTTGTGTTTTCATCACTAAATTCCCAGAACAGAGCTGGCATGTAGTAGACATTCAGTAAAAGATTTGCTGGAGGAACAAACTAGAGTTAAAACCCAGGTTCCTTGGCTCCTAGTTGAGTGCTCCTTCCACTAAACCACATGACTGAAAATCAGCCTGGAAAGTTAGGAGTGAGGAAGTGTCATGATGGGCAACTGAGGCATCCAGCACAGGGCCAGGAGGCAACAGATTGCAGTGGGAAGACTTCTGCTGGCAGCCAGGAGGCCTGGTTCTGGTCTAGGCTCCGTGTGACCTTGGACGAGTCTGGTTACCTCTCAGCCTCAGTTTCCTGGTGGGCCACATAGGGATACTCTCCCGGCCTAGAGGGGAGGGATAATCTGATAGACAGTGTGATACAGGTGGATGTGTTTTAGAAATTGTTTAAAGGTTAAACTTGGGGTCAGGAGTCACTGATCAACCATGAGGTTTCTCTCTGTCCAGTGCTTTCAAATTAGCACTGCTCACGCACAACGAAAATACAGTAGCAGGCCTAAAGACAGTGCACAAACTGGAGCTTCTTTCTATGACAGAGGCTGTCTGGAGCTAGAAGAGGACCCCTGAGCCTAGGAGAATGGGTTTGGGGGTGGCTGAGGCTACCAGATGGCCTGACCATCAGGGCCGACTCAGAGGAAAGGGAAAGGAAGCCACACATAGACCCCTCGACTGAGCCCCCTCACCTGGCGTGGGAGCCTTCTCCGTTTTGCCCTTCCACACTGCTGCATAGCCGTCCTCATGTTTGTTGAATGCCACAAGCTTCACCTCGTACAGCTGACCAGGGACTAGGGAAGGTCATGGGAGTCACTCACTGGCTAGAGGGATCTCTGAGGTCACTCTCTCATCCCCAGAGAGAATTCTAGCTCCAACTCCCACGTCCAGCTTGTCCAGTCCCCCAACGAAGCTCCCCCAGCCCACCTCACCTAGCTGGGTCAGCTCATACTGCTTCACCTTCTTCTTGAGCCGGACAGGCCCCACATCCCAAGCCTGGTCTCCACGGCCCCCTGGGGGGCTCTCACCATTGGCCTCTTCCTCGGCCCCCACCTCCCGCCAGTACAGTTTGTAGCCAGAGATCTGGGCGGGGTGAGGGGGTGGCTGCCACGACACGACCAGGGACTCCATCCTTGCCCGTACCTTCAACTCTGCAGGGGCAAAAGGGACTGGGGACAGAAGAGCGGGATGGGAAGAAGAAAGAGAATGGGGACCATGGAGGAAGAGGCCAGGGATGGGAGAGGGGGAAGAGGCGAGAGGAAGCAAAAAGCAGGAAGATGGCATTGAGTGAGAACCTTGCCAGCCTTCTCCCAGTGCATCACCCCTCAGCCACCATCCTAAGTGCCAGGCCTGGGTGGGGCCTAGAGGTGAACTCACTAGTCTACAAGCCCAGAGTGCTGAGAATGTAGGGATGTCTCCTGGGCATTTGCAAAGAGGTTAGCAAGGAGCACTGTGGGGCGGGGCTGACAGTACCTGGCACAGGGGAGGGGCCTATGATTCTCCTGAAGGAATGGATGCATGGATACTGGCAGGCAAGGGGGTAACAGGGGATGCTGAGGCCAGGAAGGAGGGATGGAACCATTGGAGTGAGGAGCCCTTCTTGGAGCTCAAGAGTGAAGAGGGCTTACTCTCTGTCAGTTCTGAGCACTTTGTACGTGTATTTTAACTTTATTCTCAGAACCCTAACAAATAACGAAAATACTATTACCTCTATTTTATACACAAGAATACCGAGGCTCAGAGAAGTTAGATAACTTGCCCAAAGTCACAGAGATAGTATGTGCACCAGGTTCTGTCTGCATTTAATCACTCTGCTACTGGGCCTCTCAACAAAACCAACAACAATCATAACTATGGAGGCAGCTACCATTTAACAAGTTCTTATTATGTACTAAACATCTTGTTTATAACGCCTCAGTAATCCTCACGCCAACGCCTCGCAGTAATGAAGACTTAGAGGAGTGAATGGTTTGTCCAAGCTCACATAGTGGCAGAAGGGTGAGCCCAGGTGCATCTGCAAGGCCACCCCTTCACCTCTACACCCCTCGTCCCTCACCTGTCAAGCAGGGGGAGCCGTGGAAGGACTCTGATGGAGGACGTGGTTGGGTCTGGGTTCCAAGAGCACACATACACCCACACAGTCATGTATACCGCCCTGTCCTGTCCCCTCCAACCCCGTACCGTGGCTCTGGTTGTGCATACTGGGCGTTCTGTGTTGCATCCACTGGGAGGGGGCCCCATAGCCAGCCCCTGTGCCAGCCGAAATCCGCACTCGATACACCTTGTTGGGCTGAAGCGAGTCCAGTGTAAGCTGTGTCTCATTCCCTGGCACCTCGGTGGAGAAAATCTGATCTGCTGGGACAGAAAAGACTGGCTGCTGGATGGCCACCTGAGGACCACGACCCTTAAACTCCCCTACACCAAATCTTCCACCTCAGATCCTGATTCCTCAGTGCCCATCAGAGCCTGAGGCCCTCTCAGCACTGACCCCTCGGTGTCTGGACAGACTCCATGGCTCCTGGGGTGACTCCTGGGCCTCCAACCCTGGCTGACACAGGCCATCAGCCTCGTCTCAGAGTGGGGAGAATCATGGCATGCTCTCCCCACTTCCCCATAAGCTGTCCGTGACCACCCCCACATACACCAGGGCGCAGGCACAAGGCGTTGGCTATGGAGACACGAGGCACCACCCACCTTCCAGAGCCCTTCCTCACCCTTCCCTCCCTCCTCACCCTCACCCTGGCCCCCAGGCCACTTGCCTTCTAACCCTTTATCCCTCTTAGACACCCTTCCCTAGATTACCAACACCTGCCCTAACATGCCTTCCCCAGTGCGCCATTTTCCCCAGTCCTACAAGCACAGCCTCTACCTCCCTATCCCTCATCTGCTTTTGAGCTGGAAGCCACCCCAGGGATGGCACAGGCTCACTGCCTCATTTCACAGATAAGGACACTGAGGAAGGGACTCACTGTGGAAGGATCACACACCGTGGCTGCAGAGGAGGTGGGGCTATCGCCCAGGCCTCCCTCTGTCTTGAGCTGGCCCTCTTCACCTTCCCTTTTCATCCCTGCCACCCCTCCCCCTAGTCCACACTCTCTTTTCAGGTTCACCTCTCCCTGCTCCACTGGGCTGCCTAATTTCCTCAGACTCCCCACCCCACTCTGCTCAGGACCCCAGCTGCTCTGACCCACCCTTCATATGGACAGTTCCCCAGCAGGTGGAGCCCACACCCTGCCCCCACTCACCTTCCCTTCCCAAACTGTACTCTATCTTGTACTTCACCACCTGCCCATTGCTCAGGCTGGGAGGCAGGGGCAGCCACGCCACCCTGATGTCCGAGGGGTTGGGGCTGGACAGGGAGAGCTGGGGTGCTGCGCTGGGGACTGAGACAGAAGAACATCAGCGTGAGCTCTGCTCCACCGACGTGGAAGGTGAGGCCCAGGAGCGGTCAGAGACTTGCCCAGGTCACACGGCAAGTCAGAAGTAGGCCCAGGATCTGAGGGAGGAAAGGGAGCCTCTCAGGGGAGCCCCAAGCTGGAGATGATGAGGGGACATCCCTCCTACCCTGAAAAAGGTTTGGGGCACAATCTTCCACATCCAGTGGGTTAATGTCACTGGCCCCTGCCTGACTGGATGGTACAGTTTTTGGAGAGAAGGGCCATAAGATTTAGGGAATCATGAGACCTGGGCTCAAGTCCCTGCTGTACTACTGACCTTGGGCAAGTCACTCTCATTTTCTGGGCCTCAGTTTTCCCAACTGTAAGTTGGGGAGAAGAACCCTTGTCCACTCCCTTATTGGGCACAAAAGATGACACAAGGCAGGTAAAAGTGCCTTAGCTTACGCTGGTAGAGAGAAGTGTGCAACCACCCCCAGGGAATTCTCTGGGTCCCAAGGTGCCCATTGCAGGTTCAGAGGCCTTACCATCATCCGGCGTGTGGACCAGCGCCGGGGTGGAGGTGCGGCTGGCCCCCAACTGGGAGTAGGCCACCACGTAGAACTCATAATCAGTGTTGGGTTCCAGGTCCCGAACCTGGAGCTCTGTGGTGTCATTGTTCACTGCAAACTGGTATTCCACGTTGTCCATGCCTGGGGCAGTGACACAGGGGACAAAGAGACTGTCACAGGGCCACCCCCAGGGGGTAACTAGCTAGAGGCTGACCAGGGAGCCCTCATATTGTTCTAGTCTCTGGAATAGTCTATTTATAGCTAAATCATCCCAGATCATCTGAGTTGGAGAGTATAAACTCTCTTGGCTTCTAGCCCCACTGTATTAATTCCTCCATTGGTTAGGAAGTTCTTTTTAGCGTCTAAGTGAAGTGACTCCTGCTGCAGTTATGAGCTGGCTTCAGGAATGCCCAGGCATCTTCCCTGGGAGGAGAAGCACCCTCTCTCTCCTCTCATAACCAACTACCGGCTGAGAGGGAAATGTGCCACACTCCACCCCTCTCACCAGTCCTAACCCCCATCTACGCGGGTCTCTCCTGAGGACTCCCACCTCATCCCATCTTAACCCCAAAGGTACCCACCAGGCAAACTTTCAGTCATCCAACATGTAGCCCCCTCACGGCGCCCCCACGTGGGCCTTTGCTGGGACATCTCGAGCCCCCAGCAGACGTACCCCGTGCCTTCTGGTAGTGCAGGGAGAAGCCGATGATCTGCTCGCTGTGCAGCTCTGGCCGCTCCCAGGCCACCAGCACCGCGGAGCTGCTCAGCGGCGTGGCCGTGACCCGGGTGGGGGCGCTGGGCAGCCCCTCGCGCACCACCACGGCCAGCGGTGCTGCGGCGCACGCCGTGCCCGCGCCATTCTCGGCCACGCACTGGTAGTAGCCGGCGTCCTGCAGGCCAATCTGCGTGATGACCAGGCTGCCGCCGCCGCCCTGCACCTTGACGCGCCCGTTGGGCCGCAGCGGCGCCCCGTCGTGCAGCCAGCGCAGCACGGGCCGCGGCTCTCCGGACGCGCGGCACACGAAGCGCGCCGTGCTGGCCCGCGTCCGCGACAGCGCCTCGGGCGCCTGCGAGATGGCAGGGGCCGCTGGGGGCGGGGAGGGGGACGCTGACCGCGCGCCCCCGCCCCCCGGGGCCCTCCCCCGCCCCTAAACGCCCTGACGCCCTGACGGACTCCCGCATCCCCTCCCCTCACTCTACTCTCTCCCTGACTCACCCCTCCCCCCAAACAGTGCGGCGGAGCTCCACCTCTTCTCCCGCAGTCACCCCAGTCCCACACTGACATTCTCTTCCTCTCCCCAGTGGTCCCCAGGCCTTCTCGGCCTTCCCCAAATACCCTCGCTCTTCCTGGATCTAACCCCAGTCCCTCATTGACCACCTCCTCTTCCCCTACCCTCCAGTGTCTCCCACACCTATCAGACTGAGCCCCCTCCACAGTTATGGCAGCCCTGAGCACCCCTGCCCCCAGTTTTCTTAGAACCACCCAGGCCACTCCACTATCTCCCCCAAGACCCTCAGTCTCACCCTTCCCTCCCTTACCTAGGTCCCCCCAGACCACCCCCTACCCCTCAATCACCCGAGCCAAGTCCTAGTCATCCCTCTTTTCTCTCTAATTCAACTCTCCCCACCCCGTCTGCCAAACTTTCTGCCACTTCTCCTCAATTACATAGTCTCTCCCCTCCAGTGCGCCCCCCCAATGTAGGACTCCTCCCCACGAGCTCGACCCCCCAGCGCTATCCTTTTTACATCCTCCAGGATCACCCCCTCAATTTCCTCTAACACACTGCCCACTTCCCCTCTCCCTGTTCTTCCCTTAGCTCCAGCTAACTCGCTCCGATCAGGTCGCCCCAACACCCACTCCTGGGGCCTCCGCCCCGCCTCTCCCGTCACCCCGCCTCACCCAGCACGCGGAGCTCCGCGGCGGCGGTGGCGAAGTCGCGCGTGCGGGGCTTGTTGGCGCGGCAGACATAGACGCCAGAGTGCCGGGGCTGCGCGCTGGCGATTAGTAGGTTGGTACGGCCCAGGACGATGACATCCGTGGAGATGGGCTTCCCGTCTGGGGAAGGAGAGGGAGAGCGCTGGAGGGGGTCACTGAGGACGCCCCTCCTTCCACTCTCCCGACCCAGGGGCCCCTCTACACCCGGGTTAAGACAACACAACAGTCCCTGGTTCTGTCAGTTCCTCCACGTGCTAGACCAGTGACTCTCTCTGAGCCCACCTGCCTCTGTCTGTAAAATGGGGAGATAGTCCCTAGCTGGAAGGGCTGCTATGAGGGTGGAACGAACAAGGTTTGTGAGAACGCCTTGCACAATGCAGGCACATATAGGTGCTCAGTCCACTAGCCAGTTATTACCATTACCATTATTATTAACTTCATTTCTCTCAAGAAGGACACACTCCTCTCGTATGGTCTTAGCCCAGTACCATGATGACGATATGGCTGGTGAGGTCTGACCAGAACCAAAACTTTGAATATGTGCTGAGACATGTTATCTTGATGTGAAATGAAAACCATTTTAAAAGCCCTTGCCTTATGGATGTGAACAGAAAACCCAGAGAAGAAATGCAAATGACTAAGAAACACACAAGGAGAGCGTTCAACTTCACGTAATCAAAGAAATGAATATCAAATCACAGATGTTAATTTTTCACCTATCAAATTGGGCATGTTTTTAAAAATAGTAAGTTGCAATGCTGGAGAAAGGGTACATGTTGATAGGACTATACAGGGGCCCCACCTAGACCTCGAAGCCAGGGAGTCCACTTGTGGTCACCTGTCCTGTGGAGATGTGAACAGGGCCAATCACCGGAATGCTAACTGTAATAGTGGACAACTGGGATGGACTTGAAAATTCAACAGTAGGAACTGGCAGATTACATTCAAATGAGGGAATATCATATAGTCATTAAAATTATCGTCTGAAAAAGTTTTAAAGATGGGGAAATGCTTACGATATACTGTTGAATGAAAATAGAACTTGGAACTGTAAACAGAGCATGCTCTCAATTTTGGGGAAAAATGTACATGTGCATTAAAAAATCTGGAAGAAAATACACTCATATGTTAACAATTTTAATCTCTGAGTGGTGGGATGTTTTCTGTTCTTGCTTTTCCCTAGTTTTCTACCATGAACACGTACAACTTTTGCAATCAGAAAACAAAGCAAAGCAAAAAGCCATGCCCTTTCCCTGTCTTAGTGGAGTAAGTTCTTACAAAAAGAACAGTGCCCGGGGGCAGGAATTAAGTTCTTTCCCAGCCTTTCTCTTTCCAGTCTCTGCCCAGGAGTGCTATTAGCCGAGTTTCTCCAAGTAAGTTGCTGGAACCACAGGTGTCAGGATCCTCTGGGACAGCAATTCTGAAATCCTCACTGTGCACACGAATCACAGAATTGCAGGGGACCTTGTTAAGATGCAGAGGCCTAGGGCAGGCCCTGGATTCTGCATTTCTATCTAGGTCCAGGAGGTAGGTCCAAAGACCACACTTTCAGTAGCAAGGACCTAGGGCATTTGTTAAGCATTAAGATTCCTGGGGCGTAACTCTCTAGGTGTGAAGGGAGGGAGTCTTCAGGTTAAACAGTCTCCCAGGGTCATTCTGATACAGGGTCAGGATTTGAGAAATATTGACTAAAACTACCAGGCAACACCACAGGCTTACCTCAATAACAGGAGGGGCCTGCTGGCCCCAGGATCCCCCTAACTGGGCAAGTGTCACAAGTCCAATGAGGTCGTGCAGGTCAGGGAGGCGCAAAGATACCAGCACTGTTCTATCTCATCAGCTTGGCGGGGGGTGCATGGTTGTTTGGTTTATTATTTTCCTTTAAACTCTATGTATTCATTATATACTCTTGAATATAAGATATAAACTTACAAAAAAGGAGGCAGTGTAGGGTAATAGACTGAGCCAGGGTAAAGAGAGCTGAGTTTGAGACTGACTTCTGCTATCAACTTGGGACAAGTCACTCCTTATAGATAAATGGAAACAAAAACAATCCTTGCTTTTCTTCCATACAGGACTGTAGGGAGTGATGCACTGGAAAGAGAACAGGCTCCAAAGTTCGGGTCCTGGCTTTCCACCTGCCTCCCTGAGCCGCAGTTTCCTCATCTGCCCACTGGGAATAATAGTTTTGGCCTCTACCCTCCTCAAAGGGCTCTTGGTAGCTCCAGCAGGAGAATGGCTGTGAGTGCTCAGGAGACTGCAAGGTGACATTCAGCCCAGTGCTCTCGTTACCCTTATAGCATCTCCTGTAATGCAGTCCCACTTGGCACTTATCACTTGCTCCTGATACCATCAAGCCTGTCTTCATGGGTGTGTGTTTGGTCTCCCTCAGCCAGACTGTGAGTTCCAAGGGCAGAGTCCCTGGCTCTCTCATCTGGGTATTTTATTCACTGTGTCCAGCAGGAAGCCAGCCACACAAGGGCAGCAGCACCCGGGGTGGACCAAGAGGTGGCTTTGTACTTAGACCGCAGTGGGGTCCTAGTTCTCCTTGACTCACTGGCTGTGTGGCACCTTTCCAGCTCTCATACACTCACTTGCAACACAGTTGTGAGGAATGGAAATAAGTAAGGTGGAGAACCTAGCCCAGTGACCACCCTAAGAAGGTCTCAACGACAATTTCGTGAGTGGCAGACTCAAAGTGTCTCATAAAGGAAACGTGCTACTCAGATTGATGATTAAGTTTGTCCAGGTTCTCCCTCCCACACTCAGCCATGGGAGAGGAGTTCCCGCCATACCAAAGGTCGGTGACCATGGAGTGGTCACGCTTATAGCTCCCTGACCTGGGGACATGTGAGATGCCACACCCCTCCTTTCCCATGCCCTCTGGTCCCCTCCTTCCACTTACCCTGTCGGACCCAGGACACGAAAGGGGTGGGGTCAGCCGAGGCCACACATTCCATCACCACACTCTGGCCAGACACCACGGTGGTGTTCTCGGGGGCTGCCACAATGACCACGTCCTGTCCCCTGGTGGATGCCAGGGACTCTGGAGAGAGAGCAGGCCAGCAGGCAGCCTTATCATTAGGCATCTTCACATGCAGTACACAGTCACCTGGTGAGGCAGGTGGGGCAGGGAGCGGCCAGGGTTCCACCTGATACGTGGAGTAAGCAGCCGCATGGTTCAGCAGAGCTGACTGGAACTCAGAGCTCTTTCTCTTGGATCAGGAGAGGAAAAACCTGGCCTCGGACACACCACCCCCCGTCTTCCCTGCCAAATCAAACCCACCCGCCAGACAGAGGACCGTCAGGGTCATGGGTAGTCTTGGAGTCTGGACTTGGAGTCAACAGTCATAGTTTCTAGTTCTGGCACTGCCATTAATGTGCTGTGTGACCTTAGGTAAATCCCTTCTCCAAAGGGCTTCAGGTTCCTGTGTGGAATAGGCACGGGGCGGGCTCCAGTTTCTGCCAGCTTGGCAGCTCCCTGAGCACAGATTTCCTGCGACATTCTCAGTGTGACCCTGGCCCCCTGGGTCAGCATGGTGAATACCTGATCTGTCCAGCAGGTGGAGGCAGAGACCCTGAGCACAGAAGGGAGAGCAGCTCAGGAGCTAAGTTAAGCCTCAGAGGACGGAGGGTGGGAGGGAAGGGTGGGGAGAGGAGGACAGGGATGGGAAGAGATGTTCAGAGGGGCAGGGGTGGGGGGAGATGCCATGGCAAAGGGAGGCAAGTGAGAGGCGCATGGGGGAGGCCTGAAGTAAGATCTGTTGGGCACCTGCTAGGTGCCAGGCACTTTCCACTCTTAATCTCAGCTATTCGCACGACCTCCCTGTGCTGGACATTTGATAATGAGCCCAGGGTCACACAGATGGTGAGTAGATAAGCCAGGATTCAGACCAGGCCTTTCCGACCCCAAAGCCTGTGCCCTTCCTTCTGCATCTCACTGGGGCAGGAGCCTCTGAGAGAAATGGAGAGGACAGGAGCACCAGACCTCAGGGAGCCAGATTCCCTGTGCACAGCAAGCAGCAAGGGGCGAAGCACAGCCCTCAGGGCACACAGAGGGGTGGGAACCAGGGCTTCAGGGCACTGATACCCTCCTCAGATGCCTCACCTCCCCACCCTTGTCCCCAGTCCTGGATGCTGATCCAACCCAAGGGAACACACAGCCTCCGCAGGAAGGGAACCTGACCGGGAGGGAGTCTTGGTTTCCAGCCCCGGCTCCTTCTCTGACTTGCTAGGTGGCACTGCCTTCCTTGGGCTTCATCGCCTCACTTCTCTGATGGGACTAATACCCTGTCACCTATTTGAAGGCAGGGCTTGGACCTCCTGAGGCCCTCCAAGCTCTGAGGTGGCAGACTCCAGAAACCTCCAGGTGTTCCCACCCAGCCAGACTCCTTACCTCTCCCGGCCACGCTGAGTAAGGCCTCCTGGCTGAAGCGCCGGCGGGCTGAGTTGGTGGCTACACAGCGGTAGGAGCCTGCGTCACTCTCCTGAACGTCCAGGATCTGGAGGACCCCGTTGGGAAGAGTAATGAGCCTTGGGAAAGGGGAGAGGGCACCTGTGAGGTGGGCAGGAGCTCCTCAGGGAGGGTGTCGTGCCCAAGCTGGCCCGCTCCAGCCTGAAATACCTACAGCATCTCACTTTCAAGCTTCACTCACTGTTTTAAAAATGCAAATTAAAACCATAAGATACCATTTTCACCTATCCCACTGGCAAAGGTGAAAAGGTTTAATAACACCCTATGTGGATGAGGGGACGGGGGCAAGGCACTCCTGTCTTGTCGGTGGCCCTGCCAATCAATACACCCTCTTTCAAGGGCAAGCTGGTGACATCTTAAAATCAAACCTGCCCGTGTCTTTTCACCCAGCAATGCCACTTGGAGAACTCTACCCCACAGATATTCTCATGCATGTACACAAATGTATGCTTAACGATGTTCACTCCAGCACTGACTGTAATAGCAAAAGGCTGGAAACAATCCCAGTCCATCTGCAGGCAAGAACTAGCTAACTCGGCGTGGCTACGTGCATACGATGGAATGCTAGGCAGCTGTTAAAAAGGAGGCAGCTCCATGTGTGCTGATGTAGGACAATCTCCAAAATGTGTACAGTGCAGAACAGTGTGTGGGGGGGACATGCACACTTTTATGCTTGCACTGAATGTCCCTGGTAATGGTGGTTGTCTCTGGGGAGGGGACCTGGGATCCTGGGAGCTGACAGTGGGAGAAGGCTTGCTTTTTATTAGACAGGCTTCTACACAGTTTGAATTTGTTCACCCCTGCCCGTATCACTTCCTCTGCCCCATGATGAAATCCATTTTATTCACACTATCTCATCTGACTCTCGAGAAACAAGCCCAAGAGATAGAAGGGATCACATCTTCATTTTATTGGTGACAAAACTAAGGCTCGGAGGGAGGATATTTTCCCGGGGCCTCACAGCTGGAGCAGAGTTAAAACTTGAACCCAGGTCTTCTGGTGCCAAATCCCATGTTCTTCCCACTTGCCTGTCTCAGCAGCCATTAGACGGCCGAGAACACCACTGAGAGGGATGTGGTCCCCAGCAAGCCCCAGTCAACACATACATTACTGAGGAGGGGCAGGATGGATGAGGGTGGTGTTCTCTGCCCTCTTGGTGAGAGGGTTGGAAATCAGCTCAGGTTAGAAAGGCTCAGAGACCTTGCTTGAGAGACAACACAGTCTGGGGCAGGGAAGTGTCCTTGGGGGCCGGGGTGGTAGGGAGCCAAGTGGGCTCTGGCCCAAGCAGGGGGTCAGCGGGTCCTCCTGAATCCTCCAACTGTGGTCCCTGCAGGGTCAGCTCCAGGTTGACAGTCTAGTTTCTCAACAGAGAAAACAGTGCTGGCCCCAGGATGTAGGCTGGGCCAAGGTCAGAGAGGGATAGGGCAGCTGTGCACTTGATGAAGATCCTTTGGCTCATGGGAACTGGGGTATGAGAAAATCTAAACACAGGAGAGGACTAGCTCAAGGGTGTTGGAGAGAATTCAGGCCTCAGGCCTGGGAACCTGCTGTTGGCCAAAGACTTAGAGCAAAAACGTAAACTTGCATCACTCCTCCCTCACCCCACAGGCAAAAGCACATCGGCCCCAGCACCCCACTCTCAGCTCCAACAGCTCCCGTGTCAGTGCAGGGGCCCGTGGGGGAGAAGCGACAAGGAGCAAAGGGTGCTGGAGGGGAACTCCTGGGCCAGGCCCCAGCGTACTGCCATGGAAAATCTGATGGGAAAGGACAAGCAGGACCCATCTGGGAAACAAGGCCCCCATCCCCATCCAGGTCTCCTCCACCTCCTGTACTCTGCACCCAAACCCCTGCCCCCTCCCCCAGTCTAGCTAGCTGACTATGCCTGCAGGGTTCCCGCCAGGAGCTGCCCACACTTCCTAACCCCAAAGGTTCTGTGTCTTTCCAGGGAAACTGTTCTAGGTGCCAAGAGCCAATACCTCCTTTGACAAGTCACATTTCCTTAATTATGTGTGTTGAAGGAAGGCAGGCAGGAAGGAGGGAAGGAGGGAAGGAAGGCAGGAAGGGAGGAAAGAATGGAGACCTTTCCTTGGATGTGGTGCTTTTGCTGCAGCCAACAGAAGCGAGATGGAACCACTTTTGGTGTTCATCTAAAATCTTTTCTGTTTTGTTAAAATGTGTTTTTAGAGGCTCTGTCCTTAGAACGATGTCCAAGATATATTGGTTAGTGGAAAAAAAAGTCACAAAACAATGTTTATGAAGCAATTCTATTTTTGGAAAGTAGATAAATGATATGTTAGGATATGCGCAGAAAAAGCCAAGGGTGGTAAAGCTCACGTCATTCGTGGAGGTTTTCTCTGGGAGTGGAGTTACTGGCACTCTTAATTCGTTGTGTTTAAAAAAAATTTTTTTTACAGTGAATATTTATTTGGAAATATAAAACTTTTAAAATTTTAAATTGAATGAAGCATGTGTCCTTGTACACTTTCTTTTGTGACTCCGGGCTGTAACGGAGAAGCAGCTGTGGCAATGTGGAGAGAAATGGGTCCAACATATGTGATTTCAGCAAGTGATAATCCCATGTCTGGGCCTCAGGTTTCTCATCTGAAAAATGGGTTAAATAATTCCTGTCCTGCCTACTTCACAACCCTTACCCTTTTAATGTGTTAGAAGCCCACATTAGATAATGGATATAAACACTATTTATGAATCACAAACTCTGAATACATGTTTACAATGGTATAAACTGTACACATATTTAAAGACTGGGAAGGAACACTCAAAAGAGTAATAGCTGTCTGTGTTCAGTTGGTAGGTGACTTTTTTTCCCTTTAAGTTGGTATATTTTATCATTTTAAAATTAATTCAAGTTTCAAATAAAACAAAATAGAATCATAGAGTGAAAAGCAACCTCTACCCAAAAGGAAGGGATCATTCCTTCTCCAAGCCTGAGCTCGAGCCTTCTGCTCCCACCCCAAAAGGCCACTTGGACCCAGGGATCCAAGAACGCAGAAGAAATGACACAGCTGCTCTGAATTTGCTGAGGGCCAAGGAGCACCCACCCTAAGCCCTTTAGAGATCCACCCAGGGAAAAGGGACACCAGCCGAGGGTCACATGAGGTTGACAGGCATGATGGATACCAGGAGATGGGTAGGGCAGAAGACTGGAGGAGGGAGCCTACGGTATTTAAGTCCATTCGCGCCATGTTTTTATAGTGTGAGTGAATGGTGATAACAAAATGATTTCAAGTGGATCCAGACACACATTTTTTATTCCAGTGGTTATGTATTCATTTTTATGGCTACCTTCTATTTACGGTAAGTGTTGCTGGTTTTCCATTTTGCTGCCCTAAGATAAGATTCCTTTTCAGTACATGTTAAAGTTACAAAAGAGAACGTTGATTTAAGGAAATGTATTAAGTAAGTGATTGTATAAATGGTTTAGGAATGGCCAAAATTAGGAATGGGGTTTGTGAATGCCTGGGACTCGGGGAATATTGCTCTCATTGATTACGGGTTCTCATGGAAGAAAAATGATCCCCTATCACTAGAAATTAGCATAAGTACCAGGGAATTGCCTCAATGTCTAGTCTTCACCATCAGTTCCAAAAATATGTACATATACCGTGAGAGAGTGTGTTTATTAACTGCACATGTGCACAGCCTACACCCAGGCATATGGTCTCCTTCCAACCACTGGGCTGAGTTTATGAATAGCATATTTGCACATGTACTATATCTGGGCACGTGTAAAAATACATACCTTGGGCAGAATCAAGTTGCTGTTTGAGACATTTCTTTATTCCTCCCACACAATGTGCTGGGACATGTGAGCCTGGCTTATTTATAGATGAGGATCACTTTTCAGAGGACCCGGGGCAAACACTCCAAGAACTCAAGAACTGGCAGCTCCAGCCTCTTGGGAGAGGCCTGTGGCTTCATGGAATGATGCCTGAACTAGCTGTTGGGAGGTGAGGTCTGAACTCACCTTTTGCTGAGAAACTTTGGGGAAGTAACTTCTCTGCTAAGTCACAGCTGGACCACCTGATCTCTAAGCCCATCTACAGCAGGAACTTCTACAGAGCCTGTAGCTTCCCCACCCCAACCACCAAATCACAAGAGGCTTATGTGTCATCCACACTGGGGCTCCAGTGTCCGACACTCTGGGCACTAGCTGTGTGACCTGGGGTGAGTTACTTCTGTCTCTGATCCTCAGTTCCCTCATTTAACAATCCAGATAATATCTGCCACAACCATACGTACAGACTGGGAAGGATGCTCCTCATGTGTTAAGTGAAGAAAAGTAAAAGTTGCAATATAATCCCATTTTTGTTTAGAGAAAAAGATGATTGAACAAAAAACCTAGTAGGTACAATATAATCCAAATTTTTAAAGGAAATATTTATAAACACATAGGGGGAAAAAATCCAGAGGATAGACATCAGAACTAACAGTGGTTTTACATGGGTGAAAGGATGATGAGTAACTTTTGCTTCTTTTTTGTTTATATGAATTTGGAAAATGGATCGACTAGGAATATAAACTAAAAGTAAATGGAGGAAAACATGAAAAATAAGAAACACCTACCTTGAAGGATAATGTGAAGGATTAAGTGAGAAAACATAGCTCTCATTAAGCGGTGCCTGTCGTGACCTCAATGCAGGCAGATTTTTCTGCTCTCTCCCACTCTCTCTGGGGGCTGCCAAGTGGGTTCTCACTTGGTTCTCACCAGCCACTCCCAGGGAGCACCCCTCGAACAGTGGTGAGAGGCCCCGCAGTTAGGAAGGCAGAGAACTTAAACTGTCTGTGCTGGAAAGGCTGGGTCAGCATCCTGAAGGCCCGCTCCCTGGAACGCTCGTCCATGGGATGCTCACAGGGCTGCTGCAAGAGCGGCTCTGGGCAAGGGAGTCCAGGAAGCCCTTGGTTAAACAAGTCTAACAGGCATTCAGTACAGGACTCATCAGGGCCTTGGCAACTCCAAGAGGGAGAGCTATAGGCAGTTTCCTGATCTGATTCAATCACAGAATACTTTTTTCAAGGAGCATCTTTAGGACTAATGTTCTGCAAAGAACACACTTTGGGAAACCATGATCTGATCCAACTCTTTCATTTTTTTTTTCCCCCTTTAATTTTATAGATGGGGAGAATGAAGTTGAGTGAGGAGCAACTTGCTGAGGACCAATGGGGCAAACCAAAAGTTAGCCAAAGTCCACAGGGTCCCTTAATGTCTTGACCTTTCATCCTTCTTCCCTCACGACTGTTGCAGGGATGTGTCCTGTGGCTTTTCCACCCAGAAGTCTCTCCTACACCTTCACCCCTTCCTAGACGTGGGCAGAAGTCAGAGGAGCTGGGACAACTGAACACACTCAAGATGGGTTAGTCCCAGGGCAGGGAGATGTGGAAACCAGCATTTCAGAACCCCACCTCCACCAGGAGGGAAGGAGAGAGCGAGCCGGTAACTCAGCTAGAGAGACACAGGGAGAGGATTGTAGGGTGGCTGGGAAAGGCCTCTGGAGTCGCATTTCCAAGATGTGAGAATCCACGGGGTGACAACCGAGCCACGAGACCAATTCAGAGACCATAAACGCAAAAGAGCCTTGCCCCATCTGGTCATGCGGTGTGCACATCTGAGCCACCCAGGAGGCCACCGTGGGGATCAAGTCCTGAGTGGAGCTGCGGCTTCTCTTCCACCCGACAAATGCTCCCCTGGGATTGTTCCGCCTACCCGCTGCCTTTATGGGGAGAGAGGGGGGTGAAGCAGGAAGGACCTCCACACCCCATCTATCAGATGCTGCACCTCACTGGGTGGGACTGACAGAGGAAGAGAAGTTACGCATGGAGGGTAGAAACTCCAGAGGATCTCTGCAAAGAGAAAACCTGAGCCAACAACGAACGTTCTGCCGATGCCTCGCCGGGTGGCCTTGGATAAAACATAGCTCCTTTCTGGACCGCAGTCGCCTTCGCAATAAAGCAAGGGGTTGGACTAGATATGCTCTGAAGGACTCTATCGCTACTCCCTACTCAAGCTCCACAGCTCGGTGGGTGGCTTTCCTCCCAAGGAGCAAAACCTTGCCCAACTTCTCTTTAGGACCAGAAATGAGCTGAGAGCCAGGTGGTGGTTGGCTCCTAGTCAATTTGGGCAAACGGGGCCACCCTGACTGTAAGAATCCCAGCTCCTGAGCACATCCCAGAGCCCTCTCTGGCCTGCCCACTGGGAGCCGCTCCCCACTCCCCTACAGGCCACTCACCGAGGCTCCTCAGGCACTGTCACCTGGTCCTTCTCCCAAGTAATGATGGGTGCTGGCAGCCCTTCAATGTGGCACTCAAATCGAGCTGTGCCGTTCTCCTCCACCGTCTGAGACTCCGGGTGCAGAGAGAAGCCTGCGAGTGCTGGGGATGAGGACAGTGAGACAGGGGCAGGGACACGAGAGAGAGAGGCCACAGCGAGCAGAGACAGTGAAACACACACACGGACACATGGACAGAGAAACACAGGGTAATAGAAACATGAGCAAATTCAGACCAACAGAGACACAGTAGAGAGGCAGCCAGAGGGTAAGAAGTGGTGATCGTTGGTCAGATGCTGCAGGCAGGGTGAATTCCAATGTCCCCCTGCCTGACATCACCCTGATGGTCCGACTACAGGGAGATGCACATTTCTTCTGGCCTGAAAATTATTTCGTGGTGGTCTGTGCCTCCTGAGAGCCCCCTGGGGGTGGGCTGGAGCATGGGTCATGAAGCCACACACTCCACCTGCTGTGAGGGTGGAGAGCTCCCTGAGGAGGCACCTTTGTGCCCCTGACCCTCTTTGGCAGGCTTCCTGGAGGAGAGCACAACTCTAGACTCTCAAACTCAAAGGAAAAGAAAAGGAGGAGGAACAGAGGAGTGGAGAAGAACAGGGACTACTGAGCAGTGAGGCAGATAACACCAGGAAGGGACTCGCTGAGCAGGACGGGAGGCAGGGAAAGGGGAGTGGGCTCAAGAGATAAGCCTTTGTGCAAGCAACTAACTGCAGATCCCACTTCCCACACCCAAGGTCTCGTGGGTCTCAGCTCAGCCCCCAGATGCTGGCACTTACTGGCAAGCTTGACCACCGCAGCCTGGCTGGCCACCACTCCTAGGGGGCCATGGGCCAGGCAGGAATAGCTTCCCTCGATGACTTCAGAGGCCCCAGGGGCTGCCTCATCACTGCCAGCGGGTGATAGCGGCTGGGACAGCCACAGGGAGCCATTGGGCAGCAGGCGCAGGTAGTCATACTCTGGCAGGACACCTCCATCCTTGCTCCACGTGACGCTGGTGGGGGGTCCGGCAGCGGCAGAACCCAGACTACAGTCCAGCAGCACGGCCTGCTCTGGGCCCAGGATCACCTGCAGTGGCCCTGCTCCACAGCTCAGCTCCACAGTCATCTCCGGGGGCAACGGCAGCTCCCCTGTGTAGAGGAGGGGGCACCAGGGCCATCAGTGTGTGTCCTCCCACCTCCCACCGACCCAAGCAACTGAGTCACCCAACCAGCGGCTGCGGCAAATCACGGAGAAAGTGGACTCATGGAAACACCTATGTCTGGATCCAGGCTCTGCCCCTTACTGTGATCTCGGGCAAACCACTGCACTTCTCCATGCCCATCTTCCTCGGCTGCTCAATTTCCTCATCCACAAAAAAAATCAGAGTTCATAGCAACATTATTCATATTAGGCAAAAAGTGGAAACAACCCAAATGCCCATCACCTGACGAATGGATAAGTATGTTCTCAGCCATCAAAAGGAATGGGGCACTAATTCATGCTACAATGTGGATGAACCTTGAAAACCTTATGCCATGTGCAAGGAGCCAGTCACAAAATGACACATATTGTATGACCTCATTTCTATGATATGTCCACAATAGACAAATCCACAGAGACAGAAAGTAGATTAATGGCTGCCAGGGACCGGGGAGAGGGAAGAATGAGGAGGGATGATTAACAGATATGAGGTTTCTTTCTTGGATGGTGAAAATTTTCTAGAATTAGATATTGGTAATGGTTGTACAACCTTGTGAAAATGCTAAAACCCACTGATTTGCACACTTTAAATGGTGGATTTGGTGGTATGTGAACTGCACCTCAATAAAAAAAGACATATGAATTCCTTCCTCATGGGGCTGTTACGACATTAAATGGGAGGATGTGTGGGAAAGGAGTATAGCACAGTGTCTGACCTGGCACAGAACGGGGCTCAGTAATGTCATTCCCATCTCTGGAACCTTACAGATCATTTCAACCATTATTACCCAACCAAAATAGACAATAGGCTAGAAAAGCACTGTACCTAAGAATCATTGAAAATGTATTGTGAGTGTGAGAAAGTGCATGTGTGTGTATACATATATATCTTGAATAAACAAAACAAAAATAAATCTCAGCTGGTTTATGGAGTCACCTGGATGATGGGAAGTCCCCCTCCTGCCCCACAATGGACAAAGTGAGTAGACCACACTGGGCAAAGCTAAGAGCTCCAGCCCCATCAGGTAGGGGCCAGACTCATGCTAGATTCAGAGCAAGCCCAAGAGGGGCCTCCCTGGTTCATGGGGCATCTGGGGGCCAGCTGTCTCTTCTGCCCCAGTGACGAGAAGAGCTAAACACTGCTTCCTGCAGCTAAGTTCCCCAAGGCCACATGGCAAGCCAGACCCAGAACCCAGTCTCCTGACCCCATCCAGGGCTCTTTTCCCTCTAGAGGACACAGAAGAGCCTGCAGCTCCAACACTGCCCTTGCCACAAAGGGAAGAGTAGAGGAACACTGGAGGACGGGAACGCCATCCCAGGGTTAGGGCAAAAACACACAAGGGAAAATGCTGATTATTTTAACCAGCATTTCAGTAGCACCCAGTAACCATTATTCACGGAGAAATGGTTGGTTATCCCAGTTGTGTCTTCCAGAACGTTGACCTGCTGCCTCTCTGTCCCTTCAAAGCTCAATGGCCCAAGGTCCCTTCTTATCCTCTGGCCTGACTCCTTCCTTCAAGGTAGAACGGTGTGTCTGAGAGTGAACCAGGGACAGAGGTGGGGACAACAGCCCATACTCATTATGAGGCAGGTCTGGGCTGACAGAGCCATGTGGGGGCAGGTAGAAAGCACAGTGACTCGGGAATCAGACAACCCTCAGTTCTAGACTCAGCTCTGTCACAGTCTAGCTGTGTGACCTTGGGCCAGTTACTTCTCCTTCTGGGTCTTAGTTTATGCAAATGTAGGTGATGTCTGAGGGTCTATGATTTTAGGACTATTCAGTGAACTGGACACATCTAATCCTGAGCAAACAGAGAACATCATCTGAACACAGACAAAACTGTGTACAACCATCCACACCCGAACAGATGCACCCTGGTATCTGCCACGCTCATCAACTCCTGGACCCAGAGATGCCCACACTTAGAATTCCTGTCCGTCCCCAGGCTCCCTTCCCACCAACCTCAAAGGAGAACAAGACTGAGGCACAAACAGAAGTCCCAAGTGGCTGAGATCAGGAGGCCAGGGCAGAGGCCAGGGCTCTGACACTGCTGTGTGAAGGACGGACAGACAGATGGTGTCTTTACCAGGCCTCTGCCTTTCTTAATCCATCAGAAAGGCTCTGCTGGCATGTCCAGCTACACAGCTGGGCTCAGCATTACCAGTGGATGCAGGGAGGAGAAGGTAGCCCTTGCCCTCACCCAGTTTCCACTCTAACTGGGAAAACCAAACCGGCGTTTCCCACCACTGCAGGCCATGTGCTGTGGGGGAAAGAGCATTTGACCTTGGGACAGAAGATCAAGCTCCCAGTCTCGCAGCTCCACCTACCAGCTGTGTGACAAGCGGCTTAACCTCTCTGGGCCTCAGTTTCCACATCTGTAAAATGAAGATGATACTAGCAAGCCTGTGAGGATTAAACAAGGTGCTGTATGTCAGGGCTCCAGCCTGGAGCCAAATGGACCTCACTCAAGGAACAGGCTCACTCTTTAAACACACGGCAAAAGGTTGTACAAATGCTAGTGGCTGTTCGTAACACCCAGTCCCTTCTCTCTCTGAGGCCCTTGATTCTATGATTCAAACATAGGGTAGGGAGAAGGCCAGCCCAGGCTGTCAGCCCAGTCGTTTCCAAATGCCTCGTTCCAGCCGCTGAGCAGTCAGTTTGAGTTTCAGGGGAGAAAAGCCCCACATGACACGAATCCCTGAGCCCTCCGGCAGCCTCCCCGCCCCCCAAAGCATGTCCGGGGCTTGGAAAATCCCCTGCCGCGCTGAACAAACAATGCGAACAGTTGGGGCCCTAGCAGCTGCTGGGTATGTCAGCAGCCTGGGCTCTGGCGGGCAGGACGGTGGCCAGAGGGGCCGGCGGCTGGCTCGGGAGCCCAGAGGAGGCTCCAATTCCCTTCCTGAATATTCATGGATCAGCAGATGTCTGGCTTCCCCACCTCTGAGGAGCCCAGCTCCTCATACAATAAGGCAGAATGAGAACCCAACAGGGGTACAGATCTGGAGAGAACTGGGGGTCTCCCTCAAATAGCACAGGGCTGTGCCAGAAGCCCATGTTGGTGAAAATGTCTGCAAAGCCTGAGATTCCTCATTTTCTAGACCGGGAAACTGAGGCACAGAAGAGGGGTCTCATCTCTCTGAGGAATGGCCTGGGGAAACTGTCCTTTGACCTTCTGAGGATGAACCCAGCATTGAGGAGACAGTGGCTCCCAAATAAGAGAGTTCTCTCTGCCTCAGTGCCCAGCCCAACTTCTGAGCCCAGGACACGCCTCCTCAGGGCTCAGCCCAGGCACCAGCCCTGCAGGAAGCCACCCTGCCTTCCCCAGCAGACACCGCACAGACACCTGGAGGTCCCTTCCCGTCCTTCTTCTTATCTAGATGGACAATGAGATGCAGTGGGACAAGCTTTGGCCTGGAGCAGAGTCCTGGGTCCATCATTTGTTGTATGACCTTGGGTCTGTACTTTCTTCCCTTCGGCCTCTGTTTCCCGAGTCTTAAAATGAAGAGTCTCCACATTTCTCATTTTCACCAAAATTCTCCCAGCAGTAGCGGAGAGCATACTCAGGAGGCTTGCTGACTGCCTGAACTGTTTTTATTTTTAAACCTTTGGCACATTTTGCATTCTCCTGCATTACACAGCTATGTTTGTTTTAATATAAACATGGTTCCCACACCACCAAATCTCTTTGTAAAAGTGATGCTCTGGGGAGTGGGCCTTGTTTGTCCAGTGGCTTCATGGCCACCCCTCTCCTGCCACTCCAAGCCCACTGCCATGGGCTGACCCCAAAGCCCCTCCCATGAGCACTTCTCAGCTGTCCCTCTCAGGACAGACAGGGGACGCAGTGGACACTTGCTGCCTGCCAGCTTTCTGCCTCGAGGGGGCCTCCCTCTCCCACAGTCCCTTCTCCTCAGTCTGCTCGGTGAGATCCTGCCACACACACAGCGTCTATGCTTGGGAGCCCCAGGGCCATCTCTCAATCTCCTTTTTCTGACAGATTATTTTACCCACTTACAGGATAAATTAGATTTTATGAGGCCAATTAGAACCCAGACAGAAAGGAGATTCACTGCTGAGCCCCAGGGCCAGCTCAATGCTGTTTCGTGGCATTAGTGGGGCCTGGTGTAAGCCAGGGTGCCATTTTTCAATGAACTCTCAGGAAACAGGTGAGTGGGAGGGAGGAGAACAAAGCCGAGATGCCTCCTTCATTAAGCCAAGAACTTGCCACAAACATCAGTGCCTTGTCACTGCTGAATTTCAGAGCCCAACAGATTTACAACTTGTTTTCCATGTAGGGGCAATTCTCCATGACACCATCACTACTCTCCGTTCCCAGGAGACACAAGTCAGTTTCTTCCAGAAACCTCACTCCCCGCCCCCCACCTTAGCCACCTCCCTTACCACACACTAAGCCCCTCCCACCAACAGCTGGAAGGAGAGCTTAGGATGGTGGCCTGGGACACAGGGAAGGCTGCAGGGCTCCCTTCATCTGTGATCCTGAGGAGAGTGGCTCAGCCTCAGTCAACTTGACAGCAAAGCCACACTCAGCCCGATCTGCCCACCTCCTGTTCCCTTCAACGCTCTGTCCCCACCAGACCCAACCACATCAGTTCTCTGAAAGCACATTGCTGTTCCATGTGTTGTTCGTGCTGCTCCCTTTCCCTATAAGCTGTGCCATCCCTGGGTCTGACTTAGACGCCTCTCCTTTTTCTGCCCCACAGAACCCTGGGCACCTCCGTCATGGCAGTTATCATTTTAGATTTTTGATTTGCTTTTCTCCCCAGCTAGGCAACAGCTGGAGATTATGTCCTAGTGAGCTTTCTAAATCTCCAATACCTAAAACAGTGCCTGGCACATAGTAGGTGCTCAACAAATATTCAAATATTTAAAATATTCAAATGTTCAAATCCTTGAACAGATGAGTGGACATGCAGAGACACACTCAAAAAGGTAAGACACAGAGTCACTCATGCTTTTCCAGGCCTTAATTTCCTTATCTGTAAAAATTACAGGAACTCCCTTCAGGGCTGGCGATGACGTGAATAATATATGTGGAAACTGCCCAGCACACTATGGGGCGCCTAGCAGACACCTAACAAGATGCTAAGAAAGCACAGAGACAGAACAGCAAATTCACACTGAAACACTGTACTTAAACATTACTAGCACTGGGGGGCGCACTACCTCCCATGTTCTTAAATGATTAAAAATATCTTCCTCTTGTGCCCACCTCTGTCTCCCTGTATGCTCTGCTCACTTGCCAGAGTTCTGTCTCCAAACTACATGACAAGGTAATGAGCCCCTTATCGAACCATCCAGAAGTCTGGGCTCCGCACCAGATTGCATGCTCAAGTCTGTACCTGAGAGAGAGCTCACTGAGCCTCTGCTTCCCTGACCCCAATGACCCCCCCACAGCCCCTCAAATCCAGGGGCTGCCTCAGCCGCAGCAGTCCAGATAGCCTATAAGACAAGGATTCCATTTCTCTGCACGTCAAGCCCAGAACATCATCCCTCTGGTTTTCCTTACCCTCCAGCTCCCATCACGCCCCTCTGACCAGGCTGGGGTTGGGGTCCTCCCCCATCAGAGCCACTCTTACTCCTCCCCCGACCCTGGGAAGCTGGGAGCCCCTTTGCCTGCCTGGCAATGACATCTGTTCTACATCTGGAATTCCGTGTCAAGTCTGCTTGCTGTACCTCAGAAACAGTGAAGGCCGAACAGGAGGCAGCAAGTGGGGATGGGTGGAGGAGGGTGGATCCCAGAGCCCAGACAGACTGACTGAGGGGGCCAAGCCCAAAGCTGAGAACTTCTCCTGGGAGGGGGAGGGGGAGCAGAGAGACTGAACCAGGGTCTGTGTGTACCGGACCCCAGGAAAGTGTGGCTGTTCCGAGAGCCAGGAGACTGGTTCCAGCCCCGGCTCAGTCCCTATCCCTGTAACTTTGGGAAGCCACTCAGTTTTCTCACCTGTAAAATGGGTTCGTGACAAAATTAATTCTAAATTCCCTTGAGAGCTGACATTCTATGACAATCTAATTGTGAGATCGCTTAAATTGAAAGCGGTACCTTTCGGAGAAAAGAAAGGAAATGCTAATTTACACATAATGTGTGATTAATTGGGCCTGAAAGTATGTACAGGATCAATGAAGGTTTAGATAACCTCTGGATAAGATTCACCATTAAGAGAAACTATAGGGGCCGCCTGGTGGCGGAGCGGTTAAGTTTGCACACTCTGCTTTGGCGGCCATGGGTTCTCTGGGTTGATCCCAGGCACGGACCTATGCACCACTCATCAAGCCGTGCTGTGGCAGGCGTCCCATATATAAAACAGAGGAAGACGGCCCAGATGTTAGCTCAGGCCTACTCTTCCTCAAGGGGAAAAAGAATTCTGTAAAATAAAAAAAAAGAGAAACTATATTTGACCTGGTTCCTAACCTCTGAAGGTAGGGTCAGAGAGGGCCATCGCAACACCCAACTGACTGAGGAAAAGCCTCTGAGCCCACGGGTGAGGAGAAGGCAGTTTTCATGATCTTAGAGACCTCCTATTACTGACCTCTGGCTTTCCCACTCCCCAAATTTTGATTGCTTGATTGGGTGGAAGGGACAGCCCCACCTCTTGCATATGGTGAAAACAGCACACCCAGTATTCCACCACTGTGGCCAGACAGGAGTCCCATTCCTATAAAAAGTCTCACAGTCCCACTCCCTGAGTCAAGAGCAGTGTTAGGAGAGAGAGGGACAGTCACCAGCCCGACCCCAACACTAGCCCTTCATTCTGCCATGTTGAGGTTGCTGAAGTGTCTATTATTTTTGACTTCCCTCTCCTTCACTCCTACAAACTCAATCCATCCTCAAGTCCTACTGATTCTACTTCCTAAATGTCTCTGGAATTCAGCTACTCTGGTCACCAGGCTACTACGGGTGGTGCCACTGTGCTAGTTGCCACCATCCTCCCTTCTGGATTACTATGACAGACTTCCAAGAAGCTGGAGCTTCCTGCCTCCAGCCCTGCCCAATTGATTCTCCACGCTGGCTGGAGTGAGCTGATGCAAAGCTGATCTTAAAACCCGCCAAGGGCTCACAGGGACTCTCAGGCCAGAAACCCTGGTGGGACTTACAAGGCCCTTCATGACCTGGGTCCAGTCCTCATCTTCGCCATTCTCTCTCGACACTCCATGGCCCCCGTCGCATCTCTCCCCAATATGTCCTGCTGTCACCCCTTGCATTCTAAACTCTAGCCAGATTTAGCTTCATTCAATGGTCTAAACAAAGGCACCTCTGAGTGTTTGCACATGCTGTTCTCCCTGGAACATTTCCCATCATTAGACACTCCCTTCTACAGGGCTACCTCACGTTCTGCATTGAGCTCTGCTATGCACCTCTTCTGGAAGGATGTCTTTCCTGACCTTTCCAGGGTACCTGTCAGTCTCCTCTCACCAGACTGAAAGCTTTGCACCAGGGACCAGGTGGGCCTCCTAACTTACTATATTCCAGGCACCAGGCACATGCTAGCCAAAACAAGTGCTCAATAAATATTTGTTGAATGAATGAATGACCTGGCTCCAGATCAGGGTGACTAGTCAGAACTCTATAGGAGTGTCCCGAGGCCGCTGAGCTTTGCACAAAGAGTTTAGGACTGAGGGCCAGTAGAGTAGTTGCTTTAGCCACGCACACCGTTGCCAAGGGAGCCCCACCTCGGACCAGCCCCTGCCTTGTGAATCGGGCGCAGGGAGAGGCCCGGTTTCCGAAGCAAACTGAGCCCCTTGCAGGAGGGAGGCCCCACCGGTACTCGATAGTCCTGCTTTACTGGGTAACCCTGAGCCCGCTCCCGGAGCTCCTGGAAGAGCGAAAGAAGGTGGGCACAACATTCCTTAATCTCCTGGGCTGAGGGAGGACAGACGCTTCTCTGGCATTTGCCCGCCCCTTCACCTGACAACCCGGAGCCCCCCATTTCCAGAGCCCAGCCACCCAGACCCTGCCCCCAGGCGGCCTCCGGTCGGTCCGCAGTCCCAGCTGGAAAGGGGCGTGTCTTTGTAGGGGGAGAAGGGGTCCAAGCAGCCCCCGCCACTTTCCCACCCGCTGTTTGGGTTTCCTGGAGATGGGCCTGGGGCCGGCCAGGCGCAGGCTCCTTCCCCACTCCGCCGTCCCTGCCTCCCTCCCACGTGGCCTGGCTGAGTCTCTCTGGAAAGCCGCGGCAGCTGGAGAGAAATCCCCCTCCCCACCCCCACCTCCAAGTCCCTCCCCGACTCGCCCCGGACACATCCTCAGCTCCCTCCTCGGCAGGGAAGGCAAGAAGTAGGCGAACAAAGCGGGCAGCCCATCCCCCTCACCAGCCCTACCATCTACCTTCCCTACCGGCCGCCCCCCAAACGCACACAGGACAGAAAGCGAGAGGGCTGGGGGTGGAAGAAGGAGCCCCAGGCATAGAGACTTGGGACTCCGTGCCCCCCATCCCCAGCCCTTTCTCCAGCGTGGCCAACTCTGACTCCTACCCCCACCCCTACCCCGCACTGAGGTGGGGGGCTGGAGGAGGCCTGGCTGACCTCAACAACGCTTCCCTCATCTGCCCCTGGGGGGGTGGGGCAGGAGTGACACGCGTCCATCCTGAGAGCGAGTGTTGGACACGTCCACGAAGGCAACTGGTTTCCTGCCCCCTCCCCCAGCCCATTCCGGGCCACAGGTCTGGGGAGCAACACTCCCACCCCCGCCCCCCCGCCCCACCCAGCCTCAGGGACCACACCCACTGGGCAAAGTTGAGTGTTTTATCATCACTATCCCGCGTCAATCCGGAATCTCCTGCTCTGTGCCCCCACCACGGGCAAGGACACTCCCCAAAAGCCAAGGCCAAATATTAGCTCAGCCCCATAAACACAATTACACACGGTCTCGACACAGATGGAGGTGCAGACACACACCCCCACACCCTCCTCTTTCACACATACTCTCAACCCGGAGACACGCGCGGGCCCGGCAGAGCCCACCCCGCACGAGCCATCAGCATCGCAGCCCCGGCCCCGCGATCCCACGCCGCGACCGTGGCACGCGCTGCAGACGCGGACGCCCGCAGAAGCCCCCGCTCCCACCCCCTGCGCGCACAGACACACAGACAGACACACACACACACACACACTCACTCACTCCAGACTCCGCTAAACCAAGGACACACACCCCCTGCGGACTAGTACTAGTTCGCGCCGCAAACGCGCCCCAGGCCACAGCTCGCAGACCCCCGAGAGCACACAGGCATCCCAGGCACAGGGACGCGCAGCCCGCGCCGCACGGCCCCGCACTCGCTCGGGACCCGGGACGCCCGCCAGCCCCCAGCCGCGCGCAGCCCCCGCGCGGGCGCACCGACACCCGCAGCCGCTCCGGCCGCCGCCGCGGCGCCCGCCCTTACCGCGCGCGGCCAGCAGGCAGAAGGTCAGCGCGAGGAGCCCGCCGCCGCGGCCAGCGTCCCCCCGCGCCATGGGGCCGGCCCGGCCGCCGCCGCCGCCCCGCGCCTCGGCCGCCGCCGCCGGGGGAGGGCGCGCCGGGCGTCAGTGGCCCGGGGAGGCGCGGCGCCGCGGGCGGGGGCGCGGCCTCGGGGGCCCGGGCCCGAGCGGGGGCCGGCGCGGGGGCCGGGGCCGCCGCCGCCTCGCCCGCCCCTCCATCGCCATCTTGGGCGATCAGCCGGGGCGGGGGTGCCCTGCGAGGGCGGCCGCCCGGGCCCCGCCGGAGACCCCGGGCCCGCGCGCCGTGACCCTGCGCCGCGCGGGGGCTCTGCTCTGCTGGCGTCTGCCCCCCAGTGTCTCGCCCTCTCCGGGTCGCCTTGGGCTCCTGTTGGACCGCTTGTTTCCGCGTCTGTTTGTCTCAGTCTCCCTGTCTCTGGGTCTCCGGGTCTCTTTCTGCCTTGGTGTCTCCGTTTCTTTTCCTTATCGCTGCCTCAGGGTCTCCTCCATCTCGGTTCCAGGCTCAGTGGAGGCAAATTCAAGGCCTCGGTCTCTGTCCCGATGGTCCCATCTTGCCACCTGAGCCCGGTCCATTCCAGCTCAGGTCCTGGCCTGAATCCTGGTTAGCTTCTCCACACCCTGCACCATCAGACCCACTGAGGACATGACAGTTCCCTCCTCATCCCCATTTCCATTGCTGTTCCAAGCTGAAGGCTTCTCTTGGCCTCCTTCTCTTGCTCTTGCAATGACCAACCCAGGCAGGGCATTTACTCTACCCCAAGCGCTGCCCCCATTCAAACCACTCTGCAACCCTGGGAGGGACAAGGAAGGTTTGATTGCTCCCATTTCACACACGAGGAAACTGAGGCTGGAGGAGGGGAAGTGATTTGCCTAAGGACATGGGGCTAGGGAGCAGCAGATGCAGGTCCCAAAACCCTGGTTTTCTGACTCCAGAAAGTTATTTCTCACTCATTCTTCAACTGTGCTTTCTCTGTCCTAGCCAGACTGGTTGCCTCAGTATCCCAGAAATATTTCTTGTTCTAAAGCCAGGAATTCAATCGTCAAGCTAGGGTAGAGAGGGAAGTACAGATTAAATGACCTGTTTAAGGTCCCTTCCAAGACCAAGATGCTGTGGTTATTCATCCCCTGTGTCGCCAGTGTTCCTATGACTTAGGGCCGTTTTGTCTCTGGACCTAGTAGGTGACTTACCCATCTATTGCTAGTTAACCCCTAATAGTGACCTGCACTTTGCACACCTAACGGGATCTGGCATGTATCCATTCATTCCCAGGCCCGTCAGCAGCATTTGACTTAGCTGATCACTCACACTTGTTTTTCTTACGGATCACATCTAGTCATCAAGGCTTTAAATGACATCTTTATGCTGAAGATGCCCAGATTTAGACCTCCAGCTTGGACCATATCCCTTAAACCCCAGACTTGTGTATCCAGCTACCTGCTCAATATTTCCGTTGGTAATAGGCATCTGAAATTTAACATGTCCAAAACGGAGCTCTGATCTTCCCTATTAAACCCGCTCCTGCCACAGTCTCCCCATCTCAGTTCCTAGCAGTTCCAGCCTTCCTGTTTCTCGGGTCAGAAACATTGGAGTCATGCTTGACTCTTTACTTTCACATCCTTCACATTCCGCCTTCCCACTACGGCCTTGACCCGAGTATCATCACCTCTCACCTGGAGTGTAGCAGTAGCCCCCCACGGGTCTCCCTGTTTCTGTCCTTGGCCCCCCTCAGTCTTTTCTCAATACAGCATCAAGAGTGATCCTGTTAAAATGTGAACCAGTGTCTCCTATCTCAGAGCAAAAGCCAAAGTCCTTATGAGGAGAAGGCCTGTCTGATCTGGAGGCCTGTTGTACCTCTCTGACCTTACCTCCTACACCATCCGCTTTGCTCACTGCCCCTCCAGCCACAGTAGCCTCCTTGCTGCAACTTGATTGGGGCCAGCCCCCTCCCTCCAGCTTCTCGACCTTTGCCCAGCTAGTGCAGGTCTGGAACTCTGTCCCTCCACCCCTCCTGTCCTCACAACTTCCCCTACTCTCCTTGTCCCCCTTCTTTCTAACATCCTCTACATTTTTCTTATAGTCTGTCGTGAGGACAGGGATTTTTGCCTACTAGGTTCACTTCTGAATTCTTTTGTTTTGTTTTGTTTTTTGAGGAAGATTAGCCCTGAGCTAACATCTACTGTCAATCCTCTTTTTGCTGAGGAAGACTGGCCCTGAGCTAACATCCGTGCCCATCTTCCTCTACTTTATATGTGGGATGCCTGCCACAGCATGGCTTGATGAGCGGTGAGTGGGTCTGCACCCGGGATCTGGACCGGCAAACCCTGGGCTGCTGAAGTGGAAGATATGAACTTAACCACTGCGCCACCGGGCCTGCCCCTCACTTCTGAATTCTAAGCAGCTAGACCAGTATCTGGCACTGTGTAGGTGCCAGGGGACCAGGATAAAATATACAAGTCACTTTCCACAGGGAGAGTAGTGTCCCAAGTGGCCTCAGTGTTCCGAATGGGAGCAAGAGAGGGGAGGGACTAACTGTGTGGTGGGGGCACGTTGAGGAAGAACTGTGGATGGGTGCAGATGTTTGACCTGGGTCTTGACAATTTAAGGAGGGTAGACATGATGGTGGGGGAAGAAACACACTCTGCAGAGGCCCTGCCGTGTGAGAGCAGAGGAAATGGCAGATCCAATAATTAACTGCACAGATATTCCCGGGCCACCTGTTGCGGGTCAGGGCCTGCTCTGGGCACTGGGGGCGCAGTGGTGAACAAGTGCATGGCGTTTAGTTAGTGAGGGAGACAGACAACTGTAGCACTCTGCCATACAGGCTGTGCTGGGAAACGGGGAGGAGGGGCACCCAGGCCAGACTTGGGGGGAGGCAGGGAAGGTTTCTGGAGGAAACAAATACCTGAATCAGTGCAAGCAGAATCTAGGAGGCATGAACTATTAAACAGGAAGGCGGGAGTGGGAGATGAAGCCCAACAGAAAGGCTGGGGCTAGATGGGGCAGGTCTCATGTGTTGCCTAGAAAGCAGTTGATGATTTAATAGTCAATTGAATGAATAAATGAATGAAGAAGGTGTCAACATAGAAAGAGTGTCACTGATTCCACAAGCCACACACAAAAATCCAATTAATTTCTTTGTATTCATATCTCAGCACACAGGCTCTGGGTCAGGAGAAGGTGTGAGGTGTGACAGGCTCAGGCCAGCCAAATTCAGGGTAAGGAATAAGAGCCACGGTCCTTGTCCTGCCTCTGTTACAGACTTGCCATGTGACCTTGGGCAACTTTCTTCCTCTCCTTGAGCCTCAGCTTCACCAGTGAGAAAAATTAGAGAGCTAGAGTATGATGCACATTTCTAACCAGAAGTTCCAAAAAGTTCACATCATTAAAAGTGGATATGGCACTTGCCTTAATTACTCTCTTTTTAAATCAATCAATAAATATTCTATTCTTTTCCCCTTTCAGATGTTACCATGGAATGCCTCCAAGTATGTATGGGGTGTTCACGGGTGGAGGGCCATGGAGGGCCAATGGACACGCTCAAGTGAACATCATTAGCCACTGTCATGGTTTTTACTATTTTTTTTTTCTTTTTCTCCCCAAAGCCCCCTGGTACATAGTTGTATATTTTTAGTTGTGAGTCTCTCTAGTTGTGGCATGTGGGATGCCACCTCAACATGGCCTGATGAGTGGTGCCATGTCTGGCCCAGGATCTGAACGGGCGAAACCCTGGGCCACCGAAGTGGAGCACACGAACTAAACCACTTGGCCACGGGGGCCGGCCCCTGGTTTTTACTATTAAACAGCTTAAATTGTTCTCGGTCTTAGTTATTCTTATATTGTTTAATGTATAGCCATGTTGGACCATGAGTGATATATGACAGGAAGTAGGAGGAGCACTGATAGCTACACTACAAAAAGCTGATGGAAGAGAAAATGATAATTTTGCAAATTTGCCTCGAGTTGATCTGCATCAGGAAAGAATGTTATAGTCTTCTAACCAAAAGTCATTAGTTATTAATATATCCAAAGCCAATGTTTAAAAATAAAACCTAGTGCGGGCCCTGTGGCCGAGTGGTTAAGTTCCTGCGCTCTGCTTCGGCAGCCCAGGGTTTCGCCTTTTCGAATCCTGGGCGTGGACATGGCACCGCTCATCAGGCCATGCTGAGGTGGCATCCCACACAGCACAACCAGAAGGACCTGCAACTAGAATATACAAGTACGGACTGGGGGGCTTTGGGGAGAAGAAGGAAAAATAAAATCTTTAAAAAAAAAAATCTAACGATCATTTGATCTAATCTGGCTTTTTATTTACCAGAAAGGCAGACGGATTGTACCTACAATGTTATTTGTGGAGAAGTACTTCCCAATAGATGTGAAGGCAATTTTTGTCTATTTTTGACCCTATAACATGTGGTTAAATTTCAATATACATTTGGTCCCCAAATTTGACACATAGTCTTGTTTGTTGACAAATCATGCTTTGTTTTTGCAATTAATTTAAAATCAGCATGCATCATTTCTTAATTGGGGAACAAAGTTTTTAAATTAAATATGTTAATATTGCCATCAACTAACAAAATAATATTATAAATTTTTGTGTTCTTAAAATAACTTCTTTGAGACTGTTATAAGAAGTAATATCTTGGGGATAGGTCAATGCTGGGGTCGAGAGATCAGGAAAAGGCTGGAGGACTGCACTTTCTATTGGTATGACCGGGTGGGCGGGGTGCTATTAAGCAAAAGAACATGGGAGAGAGCTAGACAGAGGAGAAGGAAGGTAATCAGCTTTTAAACATGATGAATGTGAGATACCTGCGTAGCATCCAAGTGAAAATGTCAAAGCCCTGGAAATGCCGTTTTGATCTGAGCAGAGAGATCAGAACTGGAGACATTATTTTGTAAGCAGGCAATTCTCGCATCAGAGCACCTAAGACACTTTATTATAATATTCTTTATTAAACTGTCTGGCTCTATGGCTAGACAGTAAGCTCCTTGCAGGAGCGACCATGTGGATCTTGCTCACTCTTGTTTTCCTGGCATCTAGCACAGTGCACAGCGT